GGTACATCCTTACTCAGTAATCAGGGCTTAGGCTCAGGTTCTGTTGGTGTACTGGTGCACGTTACAGCGTTAGGAATGCTGGTGCCGTTTTAAATTAATGACCTCTGCCAAAATGTCAGAACTAACAAAACCTTGAGGGGCTGGCACTTGGACACACCTCTTTTTATTACCTAAGTATCCCAATGGCAATAACAAAAACAGGGACTGGATTGTTAGTCCTTTGCGTAGGGGCTTCATGAATAACATTGTACAAGAGAACCTGAGCAAATGCAACTATGCCGTTAATAAGACTTGGTCACTGTGGTCTGTGACAGAATGAGGTCCAGAATGGCAGGTCACTTTGCGGCCATGGCCATAACTTAGGAGAACCTAACAAAGGTGTTAGGATTTCAAGCCTTAGATGTCTCATCCCGTGTAAAAAGCATGGTGGCCGGCTAGTACTCTACTCTGCACCTCCCCCACCAGATCTCTCAGAGTTGACCCTATCTATGGGACAGGGGTCAGGCTGAGTTGGTGCAGCAACCCAGTCTGTCTGTCCCTATCCTGAGGCCACTACCTCTGCAGGCCCCATTGTCCTTGTTACTTCTCCCAGACCTTTTGGCCTCAGCGGTCTAGCCCAGGAAGGGAGGTCAGGTCCTAAACAAACTTGACATATCTGATAACATTACCCCTCACAATGAAAGGATCAGATGTCTGTGACCTGTACATAAATGTTTATAGTATTCATACGAGCAAAAAACTAGAGTCAACATAGATATAAACATACACACAGAGGAATATTATTTAGCGTTAAAAAGGACATGTTATTTGTGACATGTATTAACATAGAAGGCATAATGCTAAGTGAAATCAAAGAGGCACAAAAAGACAAATACTCTAATGATCTCACTCATATGTAAAATCTGAAAAAGTCAAACTCATAGAACCAGGGAGTAGAATGTGGTTGCCAAGGGCTGGGGAGCAGGGGAAGTGGGGAGATGTTTATCAAAGAATACAAAGTAATAGTTATGCTTGATGAATAAGTTCTGGAGATCTGTACAGCATGGTGACTACAGCTAATACTTTGTTATATATTTAAAATTTGCCAGAAGAATAGATCTTAAATGTCCTCACCATACACACAAAAAAGGTAATTATGTGAGATATGTTAATTAGCTTGATTGTGGTAATCATTCCATAACATATATGAATATCAAAACATCACACTGTATACTATAAACATTACCATATCCTGTGGTACTATCCTTGAAATGCCTCAGATATTTCAGCCTCAGTCATCCAGTCCAGGAAGGGAAGTCACTTCTTGAATGATGACACGTCTGACATTGCCCAGCTAAATGGAAGGATCAGATGTCCCTGGCACTATTAGAGGGACTTTAGCACCCTGGTATTTCTTGGTCGTTTCCACCCCTGAGGGATCTCACAGGGAGTGCACCTGAGGGAAACACTGACTCCAGATTAGACTTAGGGGGGCCTTTTGGGGTACTATGGCAGCCAGAACTGCAAACCACCCACAGGATGTACACTGTAAAAAAAGAAAATGGCTGGGAACACTGGAATTTGGATTTCACAGGCAGAGGAAAAAAACTAGTCCACCTGTACCTCCTCCAGGCTGTGTTTCTCAACATGTGCTGCAATCATGTGGTTCCTTTGCCCTGGAGCGCAGTGTTCAGTGTCCCCATACTGCCCTATTCAGATGGGCTGCTATCACCCCACTAGTTGGTTATCCTGATGTCCTTCCTTCACTCGTTGTGAGCTGGCTTTCCATTGTTCAACAGCTCTATTGGACTGAGGATGACAGGGTACATGGAAAGCCCATTGTATTCCATGAGTGTGCCTCCTGTCATGTTCCTTGGGCAGTAAAGGAGGTTCCTTGTCAGAGCAAAGTTTCACAGGGTATCCAAAAACATAATTTAAGTTCCCCTAAAAGGTGGCTATGGTATTCCCAGCATCCACAGGTGACATGTATTTGTCCTTTCCAGTTAGCAACCTTTTGCCATACTCCTTGTAACTACACAGATCTTTTTCCACTTGGTTGTCATTCACCTGACCAGATAGCAAGGCTGTTCTTTTTGACAACCAGTGAGAAGTGGGGAGAAGTGGGTTAGTCCAAGGTCACCTGGAGAATGGTCTTGCAGGTGGCGGTTCAAATCACAATTCAATTTTATTAGGGTAAACTGCAAACTTTTTGTCTGTTTCACAGATTATCTTTGATGAAATTCTAGCCAGGCTCCTCTGAGCCCTTTCTACTTCTAAATAAACCTTTGCCTGTAAAGATCTGAAAAACACATTAGCAGTTTCTAACAGCTCAAAGCCACATCCATAGGTTGACTATCCTCCTCCTGAAAGTGCTTACCTGAGAAAACTCAAGGTTGCTAAGAGTTGACTGTTTCTTCCAACCAGCACTTTAAGGTAGAGTCCGTCTCTGGGGGAGGGTAAGAGCCTACGTTGGCATTACAGCCAGTTAACGAATCCAAATGGGTTTCACGTTAACCAACTCTTCCTGTTTATATCCCTGATTCTACTAAGCCCCCACTTATCCTCCTCTCTATTCCCTCATTCTCTAAGACACCCAATCACCTCAATACAAATTCAAGTTGAGTTCAGTTCATACTGGACTCTTCTTATTGCAAGAGTATGTTACTGATTTCAATCTATCCTTACTGTTTTAACTAGTATCTGGCTTTATCTTTGATATGTTCTGTATCTGCAGAGTTCAGGGGTTAATTACTTTGGCTAACTTCATCTACTAAGTCTGGGACCTCTTTCTCCAGGTCCTCGTTTATCCCTTCTGAGATTTCTCCTTCACTTTCTGGAAGCTGTGGTTAGCCCAGATCCCATCTCTTAGTTCTCCAGACCAGAAAGACCCCAGGCTTTCCACCGCAGCCTTAGCTGTCCTAAACCTGCATCGTGACTATAGCTGGTACTTAGGTCAGAAACATTAACCTTAGCTTGTGCCCATCTCTTCCTCCATATCTTATCTCCCATCCAAAATCTTTCCAGTTTTTCTTCAGTTTCCTGAACTCTCAGGTAGTTGTTTCTAGTATTTTGCCCAGGATCTATATTTATTATCTGAGGGAATGTTGGCCTTCAGATTACACCACCATACTGGAAGAGAAAATTTCATGTCTTTGCTTTGCATTTGCCATGAGCTTACATGAAATGCCAAAACTGCCCCCACCACAATGAATCCTCTTCACATGGTTGAGGTTCTTCTTTAAGATAACATTCACATTGTACATACTGCTCACACAGGTACTTTTCTTAAATTTATTCTGTACAATAAATACAAATGTTCAAGCTGTCAGTGACATAGTGTATCTTAGGTTCTGGAGACTGACAAGATTTGTACATGGGCCCTGACACTCCTAATTGTATTATCACCCTGAGCAAGTTTCCTAACTTTTCTGCTCAACTCAATTCCTCAGTTACACCATGCTGACAACAGTATTTACCTCACTAGGTTACTTTGAGGATTAAATATGACAATATATACAGTGTGAAAAATGTAAAGAAAGAGCTTGGTAAATATCAGTTAACTCATTACTGCAGATGTGTGAAACAAATGTCCCCAATCCCCTTAATGACTTCCCTCTAATGAAAAAAAATTACAAAAATTTAATACATGTTTGAGGATTGTCAAAGATCAAGATTATACAAGACAAAAATCAGGAAAGCATACAAGCAGAAAATTTTTAGCAGAGAAAAGGAAATGAGTACATAAGCCAAGATAGTCAACCTCCCAAATTATTTTTTAAACACTGGCTAAAACAGCAATGAAGTACCACTTAATAACTATTAAATCAGAAATATTAACAGCAAGTACTGACTAATTTGTATACTATGGTATACTTTAATGTTGACTGAATTGATAACTGTTTTGGCACAGTTTGTGATACATCTGAAAGGAAAACAAAAAAACTATTTGACATTAGACTTTTTGTAACTCAACATTTACAGCATTATTTCCTCTCCCCTCCACAGTGGACAGAACTAATTCCAGATTCAATCCTTTCCAATGTGTCCCATAATATCAATTACTGCATGTTTTCTGACATCTCATATGTATGTAGAATGAAGCGTGAGAAATGTCAAGCCCAGGGCTAGGAAGTTCAGCCATATATCAGGGAAAGTATGATAATACTACTAAGGAAATAAGACTAAAAAAATCAAGAGATGTGGGGCCAAAATAACACATGGAAGATCAGATTACATCACGTCAGAGCTTTTATGATTCAGTTTGGAGTCACCGTTCTACTGATGATGTACCTAAAGATACTAAAAACTGTAGATAGTATTCTTACGGTGTTTGCTTTCAAGTTCTAAAGGAATTTCATCCCTTTGAACTGGAAAGCAGAAGACACAAATAATTATCCAACTTTTTAATTATTTTGGTGGAACAGATGGATCGATTTATATTTATATATATATCAGATATAAATATATATATTTTATATATATCTCAAATAGATATATCAAATATATATATATGTATCAGACTCAGGGAAAAATAAATTTGGTTTAGTCTACAGGCTCCTACACTCTTGTTTACCAATAGGCTGTTGATGACTGGATTATGAAAAGGCTGACAAAAATCTTGGAAAATATTAACAGACTTCAGATAAACTTGCAGCAGACAGTACCACGCAACACACCTCCTCCTAAGCTTTTATTTAAAAATACTTATAAAGCTTAAAAAAACAAAAACATTAAAGTCATAGAGAACAATTATTAAGCATATAGGAACATGATATTCATGTATCATTAAAATAAGAAATCTTTCAAGATCTGTTTTCTATCTCAGTCTAAATCAGGGGTCTGGAGTTGTGTCGTTAAAAAACTAGCCTCAAACGGCTCTGTGCATGCATAATAGCTTTATATGTGTTCCCATTGTTGGTCCAGTTACCTGATTGATAATTCTTCCTTACCTGAATGACTTTATTAGAATAGAAAACACATTAATATTGCCTTAGGAATTAAATCAATTAAACACTGATGATCAGCTACATTTATCATGTAATTTAATCTGCTTTTTTGTATATTAGCTTTTACATATGGAATTGAGTATCTCAGGATTCCTAATATATAAAAGACCTGCATAAGAAAAAAACATTTGATGATATGCATAAAATCACAATCACAATAATTGGACCATAATTAGACTGGTTAAGAGATGAGGAATATATGCTCATTTGTAAGTGATAAGTGATTATATAAAGAGAAAACATGGGTTAAGTAACATAGCAACATTAATTTTTTTATATCAACAAATTACTTATCCCAAGTCCTTAAAAGTTTGTTTAAAAAAACAGGTCAAGATGAAGAAATAAACTTGTAGTTTAAACTTCCACATGTGCTCCTTTGGGTGGTTTTGCCTTGGATTTTGCTTCCTTTGAAATCTTTCCATTTTGACATTGAGTAAATCTGGCTACTGTAGAAACACCATCCACAAACTTGGTTTTGAAAAGAACGTTTGCATTGTTGAACATACCTTCTTTTAGTGACACCACGATGAACTTAAGGAAAAAAGAAAAAAGTATAAAAAAACTTTTTGTGATATACTTGAAGTTTACTCCTTTATACTGGGGATAAGAATTGTTTGGAGATAATTTTTGATTTTATATCTTTAGTTATATGAGGCACCTAAATAAATACTAACTGTCCAAATTGTTTTAGAAGTCGCTTAACTATGAGTGGAGTCCCCAGAGTTGTACAATGGATAATTTATGCAAGCATATTTGGCAGCCCCAGGTCCTACAGCAACACTGTAATAAAAACAAACTGTTCTTAGCTTCAGAGGCTTTGTTCGACTTTTTAGCCATGAGAAATTAAATTCCCCCATCAAGTGTCACATGATTTTCTGATACCTGAGTTAAATATCCCTGAGACAGTTTTGTTTTGATTGTACATCTTGTACATCTTTATGGCAGCTAACTAGAGAAAACAATTGTATTAACCCTAAGTTAATTCTGTATTATGACTAAATTGGAATCTCCCTCATGCTACAACCGACATTTTTAATGCCTAGGTCTTTCTTTAAAAGGAGAGTGAACCTTTTTTCCTTCTATACCTATTTAAACATAAGTTTATTTAAATAAATATATAATACTTTAGTATTTATCAACCCTAAATATCTTACTAACATTGGCTACTACTAAAGAATGGTTTTAGAAAAATAGTCTAATTAAACTATTACTGAGACTTTTTTTTCTGGTTCTTACCTGAGAATGTGTGAAATGAGTACGTAGCATCTGTCCAATGTTTTGGGTATGAGAAAGATCCAAGGCTGCATCTACCTCATCAAGGATATAAATTGGAGCAGGTTTGAAGAGGAGCATCGACAGTATTAATGACAAGGCCACTAAAGACCTAAGAAAAGGTCAGTAGAAGAAAAACCATAACAATTTGATTTTACCACTTATCAAAACACTGAAGCAAATATGTGATCCTATTATTGTGAATAGAGCAGATTTATCTGAAAGGTAGTCATATAAAAAAAGAATCTTGAGTTTCAATCTTTAACACTTTTGTTGTATTAAAATAAAAAAAATAGCTTTCCATTTTTCCTCTTTTCAGAAGCATGCTATTTTCAGACAATTTTAATATTGCCATATTACGTTTGGCACCTACTCTTAAGATCACGTTAGTTTTAAAAGTTCTTTTTTTTTTCCTTCCCCAGTTGGCTCGTTAGAGTAAGGGCTATGGTCATTTTTTTTTACAATAGCTATTGTCTTGGTAACAGTAACTGGGTGAGATGTCATTTTTCAAACTTTCATAATGTACACACATAAGTATACATATACACACAAACAGACACACAATCTCTCTCTATATATATTTTTGGTATCATTTGTGAATAAGTTGTATGGATGATGGCCCATTACTCTAAGTACATCACTGTCAAAAGTTCAAACAATTTTATGTAAAATTCATAGTTACACCTAATCTCAGGTTCCACAGCACTATTTTCAGTTCTCTTCTCGCTTACTGCAGCTCATTCTAATCTGGTATGAAGAATCATAATAATTATTATATTTTTTCCTTAAATAATTCATAAAAAGTCTTATTTTAATATAAAATATTTATAATTACTTAACATTAGACTAAACATTAGAGTAGCATTTGTAATATACTTATTCTGTAACTTCAAGTACATCTTGGCATACAGTACTAGGATAGCCAACTTAATGCTTGCTGCATTCTTTTTTGAGAGTCTTGCTCTGTTATCCAGGATGAAGTGCAGTGGCACGATCTCGGTTCACTGCAAACTCTGCCTCCCAGGTTCAAGCAATTCTACTGCCACAGCGTCCCTAGTAGCTGGGATTACAGGTGCATGCCACCACACCCAGATAATTTTTGTAGTTTTAGTAGAGACAGGATTTCACCATGCTGGCCAGGCTGGTCTCGAACTCCTGACCTCAAGTGATCCACCCGCCTTGGCCTCCCAAAGTGCTGGGATTATAGGCATGAGCCACCGTGCCCGGCCCAAGGCTTGCTGCATTCTAATAAGGCTATTTATTAAGAAATACATAAGTAAGTAGGGAAAAATGTGTGCACAAGTGGAGAAAAATTGTTAGCAAAAAAAAAAAAAAGAATAAAACAGTATCATCAAAATGAAATCACAGTGAGACTGTTAATCACCTCTATAAAAGGGAGATAAAGTTATTCAGCCAACCTAAAATTATGTTTGTCTTTCTCTGTGATGAGTGCCTCAAGTATTGAGTTTTAAACTTAATCTTTAACCCTTCAGCATAGCAGAATTTTTTTTGTAACTGCCATGCTGGATAGTGGTATATCTAAAAATAACTTTATAGCATCTTAATTACGGAAATAATTTATAGGTCCCAGTAAGAAGAGAAGCACACATTGTCCATTTTCCTCAAAACATTTTCTAGGGCTTTGGCAAATATAGCTAAAGATACTGGGAACTAAACTGTGGAATTCAATTTTTATGAACAGCCAGAGCAGGTGCTGTATTTTTGATTCTTATTTACAAATTTTATAAAAATATAAATAAAATATATTTCTACTCATAAAAATGATACAAGGGGTCATAAGGAACATTAACAGGTGTCTATATTTTCTATGTACATTAAAAAAGGGTTACATGATGGTATTACAGGACACAGAAGAACAATTCAAGGCCTATGGATTATATACCATGTTGGAGAAAAAAACAATTACTAATCACTAATTTCAATTATGTGAATATTCATTCACAACTTTCTTTTAGGAGGTTTTAATTAATTGGCTATCTGCAGGTAAGACGTGAGGACATATGACCTTTTAGATTTCTATCACTATGCTGACTTTCTGAATCACTGTGTACGGTTGGAAGAAACTTTCCTGAACTCCAAATCCATGTTATTTTCCAACACTCTTCCTTCCTTTATGTAGATCCAAGGTTCCATCTGGTATCATTTTCCTTTTGCCTGAGAACTTCCTTTAACCTGTAGTATAGTTCAGATGTTTCTGTCTGAAAAGTATTCATATTGCCTTCAATTTGAAGAATATTTCTGTTAGATAAACAATTCTAGTTGACATGTTTTACTTTGAGCACTTTGTGGATGTTCCAGACTTCTGGCTTACATATGTAGCATTTAAAAAGAAATCTAAAGACATTTTTATTTTTGTTCACTAGCATATAATATGTCGCTTTTCCTCTAGCTGATTTTAGGATTTTTCTCCTAATCACTGGTTTTCAGCAGTTTTATGTATCTCTTGCTTTGTTATTTTATATGTGTTTCTGTTTATCCTGCCTGAGCTTGACAGAACTCAAATCTGTGGGTTTACAGAATTCATCAAATCTGGAAAATATGGGGCCATAATTTCTTCAAGTATTTTTCCATCCTCCCTATTCCCTCTCCTTTTGGAACTCCAATTACTTGCACATTAGACAGCTTCCCTTAGGACACTGAAGCCGGTTTTTTTCCCCCCTCCAGTTTTTAATTTCTCAGTGTAGCCTGAATAGATTATTTTTTTTTGCTATGTCTTCAAATTTACTCATCTTTCTTTTACAGTATCTTATCTGCTGTTAACCTCATGCAGAAAACTTTTTTTAATCTCTTGAAGATCCACTTAATTCTTTTTAGTAGCTATTTCTCTTTTTTTGTTCATGTTTTCTTATAATTTTTGAAAATGATTAATGTAACTCTAACTTGTTTCCTACTTTCATCAACTGTCATTTCAGAGTCTGTGGTTATGTTGTTTAGTATCTCAATTTTTTTTAACCTTCTTTAAAGAACACTGGCCTTTGTTCTGATAAGTAACAGTTTGATCCCTTCAAGAAATCTGTTCAGTTTCTTAGGATATGTCTACTAGATTAGGCTTCACTTCAGGGACAGTAGAGACCTAATACCAAGGTGTAGCACTCTAGGGCTTTGCAAAATTCTGTGTTTTTTAACTTAGTGAGACTACTGACCTCTGTTTGGGCACCTGAAGTCCAAAAACTGCCACTAGAGAGAAAGTCAGGGTGAACACAGGGCTCAGCATTTCTGTTTCATCTTGTCCTGGACTATTCATTTTTTAATATTTGAAAATACATTTTTTTAAAAACACATTTTGTCAACTTTGTCGCCTGTTTTAACCAAAATGTTTAGTCTTATATATTAGGCTCCTTAAATTCTACATGCAAAGGTAGTTAAGCAAATTAAAACACAAATACAATTGTTAAGGTAATGAGATGATGAATTAAAGTAAGAGGAATGAAAATTAAAATACAGCAAAGTGATTCCTCACCTCTGACCACCACTGAGTTCAGTTAGGTTTTCTTTCCAGGTATTTCCTAAGGCAACCTTGAACTCCAGACCATCCAAAACAGTTTGACCCTCTGGTGGTGCAAGCATAGCATTAGCACCAGGCAAAAGAGTAGAAAAAATAGAGCCAAAGTCCGTGTTCACCTGGATTTAAAAAATAAAAGAGTTAAAACATCAGGATGCTTTCCAAGAAGAATCAATTGTTGATATATGTATATGCAACACAGCAGGTCTACTTTGTCTATTACTGTAACTCGGAGACTGACAAACTATGGTCCATGTGAAAAATCTGGAGATGCTCATTCATTTACAAAGTGTCTATCAATCATTGCTAGTGATACAACAAAATCAGGTAGTTGCAACAGAGACTGGATGGGCTCCCAAGCAAAAAATATTTATTATCTGGCCCTTTACAAAAATGAATTACTGAATCCTGCTCTAATTTCCAGGGGAACTAGAAGGCACACCTCTAACTCTACTCCAAAGTTTTGACACTTCTGTAGAACACATTGCAGGAATCCTCAAGATACACACAATTGTATCACATGAGGAAAAAAAACAAAATAGAAGCAAACACAAAAACAAAACACTTTTTGGAATAAAATATTCTCTTATAAAACTTTTCTTTTTCCTGTTGACTGATACAATAAGACAGGTCTAAAGCCCTAAGCAGATCAGTGTGAGGCCCAGGAGAAAAAGGGGCATGAAATCAAAGGACCAGATCTGTTAAAGGGTTCTTTTCTATATGCCTCATCGCCTAGCCGAAGAGGATAAGCTGTTGAGGGCCAGAAAATAGGATTAGATCCCAAGAAAAAAGAAAGCTGTTTGGTCTGCTCCTGTCTTGCCACAGAAGGAGACAGAGATTTAGGGCCAAAATCCTAGTTTGTAATAGGATAATTTTTGTTCATACGCACTTGATTGATGATTTGGGAATCTGGCCATCTGTCTTCAAAGATATGACTAATATTCTTAGTTCAGCAGTCAAACTTGAAAGTCTAACACACACACACATACACAAGGACTTGACAGCCAAGTTCTCTAGAGCAATCTCCAAATTCAAATGCAGATATACAATATTAAAATGTAAATATACTTTTTAATGAATATAGTAACAAGAAAATCTCATAGACACAAGCAGTGCTCCTAAATATAGATTTACTAAGTAACACACATTTTAAGAACCAAGTACACAGCTGCTGAATAATAGTCTACAGAATGGAAGCAGGTTCTAAACCTAGTGGGGGGAGAGGCAGCTCAGGACCAAGAGAGAGGAATGCTACTACACCTGAACATAACCAGGGCTGAAGCCAGAAGGAAGAATATAATGCTGATAACAGTACCTATTTAATTAGGTTATTGTGAAGATTAGATAAGAAAATTAATTTGAGAATAGTGACTGGCATATAATAAGTGACTGAATAAATGCTACTGGCTTTGGAAGAACCTTGGAAATTAGGGAAGAGCAGGATATGTTTAGACAATAGATTCTGATTTGTACTAAGTCCAGGAACCCTGGTGGGAAAAAAGAAAACAAAAACTTCTCAGATCCAGTGTTAAATCGACATGCTGTACAACAATAATAGTGGGTCAGTCTTTTGCTTCCATTTTTAAGAGAAAAATAGTACAGGGAATAGAGCACTGAAAATAAGTCTTAGAAAAGAAAAAAACAAGGTGACTAAAAGGGATAATTGTGGTGCATTACTGAAGATAGAATTTCTACAGAATTACAGAGAGAAAATGGTGTCCCATTAAAACCCAGAAGGCACAGGTTTGCTAAACTACCAAACAAACAGCACAGTAACTCTATGTTTGGAATCTTTGAAATAAGAGTCTTCTGCGACAGTAAAAATGGAAAAACTTCCACATGAGAGGCTAAGGGATTATCCTACAGCAGACAGATACATGAAGTCAGGAAAGTAGAAGTAACAGTAAAGAAGCCTGACATCTGCCAAAGCTGTCATAAAACAAAATGGAATTGGGATTTTGTTGAGTAAGCGTCCTATAAAAGAGGCTTGTTTACTGTCCAATTCTTAAGGAGGACAAGAATGCCAGAATCTGGTAATAGTCAAGTCTGAAAAGAAAACATGCATTTAAAAGTCTGAGGTTTTAATTAAAGTGTGAATATGTGCCTCATTCAAACACAGATCAGCCATTTCAAATTTCTCAGAGTATAAATCCACTGATAATATTTTTTTCATCCTTGCCACCTCATATAAAACAAAACATCATATTCTGGGGTTAAAATACCTTTTGCCATGCAATATTTAGGGCTTGGTTTTTCTTCTGGTCTAGGTCTTCTATAGTGGTAAGAATTTTGGATTTGTCATTTTCTACAATTCTCTTCTTCTTCATCAAGTCATTATACTGTGAGATAAAAAACATGGTTAACTGGGAAAATATAAAATCTCTCCTATATTCCGGAATTCAGTCAGAAATAAACAGGTTTCATTATTTTGATATATAACGCATACATTCCTATTTACCAAAAAGACATAATGCACTAAGAATTATATATACTCTTATAAGTATATACTATACATGTACTATATGATGTGTGTGTATATATATACTCTTAACAAAATTAGGAATAAAATCATCCATATGTATATAACAAAATTAAACTGCTAGAAGAATTTATAAGACAAGTCCTTAAAATATTTTGACTCCACTAATATTCCCTTATCTCCTTAGCAGCCAAGGCAAAAAAAAAAAGTGTTATATATAAACTTAAATAAAAGTAGCCCTGAAAGCTCTCCTCCTAAGGTCAGCCTTAGCAGCGACATGAATAAAATTTTGATCCTTCACGATGATGTATAGGCCCCACATAAATTGGACCTTATTATTAATTTTTTAAAATTTTACTTTAAGTTCTGGGATACATGTGCAGAATGTACAGGTTTGTTACATAGGTATACATGTGCCATGGTGGTTTGCTGCACCCATCAACCAGATTTTAAGCCTGTATGCATCAGGATAAAGGGAATTGGACCTTATTTATCCCTTGACTTTATGGCATTAAACTCCTCCCCAGGTTCTGGCCATACGGTCTTTTATAGCGCCTTTGAACATAATAAACTCACTATTGTCTTATGACCCCTACACTGTTCTCCCTTCCTGGAATATTCTTTTTTCTGACGTAACGGTTGCCTGAAATTTCAGCTTAAATATCATCACTTTAAAAGTAGTATTCCTTTGAGCAAGGCTGTAGAGGGATAATCATACCATCAACAGCAGTGGGACTTCCTAAAACTCTTCCTAACTCATTTCTCCTCAAAGCCCTGCATTTCACATTCATCTTTAACAACTCTAGCCAGTCCTGATGTCTTCCCTGCTGTCCCTCTTTACAGTCACGCTCCCCAAACCTCCTATGTTTTTATCTTATTTTTTCATGAAAATCTATATAATTGCTTATGTAGATGGATACAAAACACAAGAAGAAAAAAAAGGCCATCTGCTGATCAACAATACAGGCTTCTCCTCTGGTAACAGGATGGGAGTTGATAAATTCTTTTGAAAAAAATATTAGACTCAGGTCTCCTCTAACAGAAGTAAACGAGTACAAGTGAACAAGTTTCATCATGTTATGCCGATCAAATTCAGACCAAAGTTTTCCTTCTATAAATATGCCACATATATGCAAAGCTTTAATGTAGAAATGAAAACCAGCAGGAGCATTTTGTAGAGAGATCACAACACCTGCATGATTCATCTGTTTGGTATCTAACATAATCTAGACTCTTGGTGCATATTCATGCCAATAACAGTTAAAAAAAAAAGTTATGGTAAAATTTCTTAAGTAATTGTGCTATTATCAGTGTTGCAGATTTCTCATGAATTTTACTCTATGATTTGCAAATTCAAACAGAATTCTGCAGAATTAAGGAAGGTATGGGGCATTAATATAAAATTTAAGATAGCCATTTCTTATGACTATCTTAAGAGTAGGGAATGCTTCCCCCACTGGGTTTTTCTAGTGATAGGTCCTCCCAAGTTCATCACTAAATGACAGTAAACTCCCTTCCCAGACTCAAAGTTTTGTCAGGTTAGGGGAGATGGGTAACATTATTGAGTAATTAAGAGCATTAAAACTGAGAAGAGGTTGCAGGATTTACAGATTAGTGAAACATTATTTATGTATGTAATGGCTTTAGTCATTACTTATATAATAGTTTCAGTATACAGTAGAGTCAAGAAAACGACAGCGCAGCATACCCTATTCAAGGCTTTTCAATGCAACTGAAAGAAATGACAGAAATGTGAGGAATTATGTTTGACAAAGAACAAAAGCCAGTGGAAAAGTCATTCCAGGTGTAATAGAATGTAAAAACCACTAATGACGCACAAGAGTAATAAGAAAAAAATGACGAAAAGAGAAAAAGGAAAGCAGAAAGAAAAGCATCAAAGACATCTGCAAAAGGTTAACTCTAATAACTCCATCAGGGGTCATACAGAGCTATCAATGCTGGTCATGTTCTAATGTGGCCAGATATTCATAGGAAATTGACTTACCCGCTCTTCAGCTTCTGTCAATACATTCATAGCTCTCATATTGACATTTCTTCCTAGTTTCTCCTTCATTTCTTGCAACTTCTGAAGTCTCTGACCAGCTTCTTTAGGGTTGTTAGTTTTGAAATCATAGGCACTATTGGGTTGGCCAAAGAGGTGTCTCTCTGCATTAATCCAGTCATAATCTTTCAACATTTTGGATACCTAGCCACATATAAAAATAGATGGAGATCTACAAATGTTTACAAACCAATATGTATAAGCCAGTTTCTTAAATATTTAATACTTTTTAATCAAATACTGAAGAAGAAAAAACCTTCAATGACTGATTTGTTTGTTTGTTTGTTTGAGATGGAGTTTCGCTCTTGTTGCCCAGACTGGAATGCAACGGGCAATCTCAGCTCACCACAACTTCGCAACCTCTGCCTCCCAAGTTTAAGTGATTCTCCTGCCTCAGCCTTCCGAGTGGCTGAGATTACAGGTATGCGCCACCATGCCCAACTAATTTTGTATTTTTAGTAGAGATGGGGTTTCTCCATGTTGGTCAGGCTGGTCTTGAACTCCCGACCTCAGGTGATCCACCCACCTCGGCCTCCCAAAGTGCTGGGATTACAGGCGTGAGCCACCATGCCTAGGCGACTCGTTTTTAAAAATGAGTTTCATTACTGACAAGAATAAAGATGAATATTCTTATGTGGAGTGCAGACTACAAAAACAAGACAGTGCCTAGCAAAAGATCTTCCTATTACTTTGGCATTAGAAGAGCCAACTCAGAGAAATTTTTACAAAGTGTACGCAAAGCACCTCCATTAGAATGAAATGGAAGTCAGATAGAACTCCTTTAGAATTTACCAAATTCTATCTATTGCTTCAAAAAACAACTTGTAGTAAGTTAAAATTCCTTTAATACTTAAGTCATAGATTTGGTAAAATCATGGAAGCCTAATGCTGACTGAGACCTAATGATTTTTCTCTCAGAACTATATTCTAAGAAACTGCCCTAAACATTGACTCTATCCCTGCTCCCACCCCTCTGAAAAAGGCACAATATAATACTTCATGTAATGCAACTGATTATACAGTTCAAATTACAGTGCTTAAAGAAGACTTTCTTCTACTAGAATTGATTCATTCTCACTGGCAGAATCCAATCCTTGTTAATTTGTTGACTTGTATTAATTCCATGGATATGGTCTCAAATGTAGGCCCCGAAGTAGAATTATCATTTCAAGTCTATCTTCCTCTTGACCTGTAAACTCTTTGAAAGCATTCTATATCATTCATTCTGTATATGTGTTGCTCATCCTTATATTGTCAGTGCCTGGCACAGGATCTGATACTAGTAGGTATGTATAAATCTTTGATAAACTATGTTTTTCAAAGAAGCATTGACTTCTTAGCAGACCCACTTGCAAGTCCCTCCTTTTACTCTTTCAATTGTAAATAAAATCTCCTAGCAATCACCAGTACTAGCATTTTCAGTTACCAAAATACTATTAGCAGTAACATTGCCATTGGTAATATTTCAGTCAGTTCACTATCACTAAGCTAATGGGAAATCAATAGTAATAAAGTGGGAGATTATAATGTAGCCATAAAAAATGTTTTTTAAACCAAGTTCCACAGTTCTTTCAGAAGAGGGGAAGATTGTTTTGTATGTTCTTGATCTTTCTGAAGTTAAAGTTCATGTATTTTTAGGATGCTTAAAAAAAAAATATCCTGGACATTAAAAAGGTGCCAAATTGTTACACACTCATAAGAAAACATGCTGGATGAATTATTAACACCATGTGAATGCAGCTTCTCAACCAAGCAATGAATTTCTGCAAAAGCATGTGTTCTCTTTAAACTACTGAAGTTAAAGGCGCTGTGACACATGAAAGAAGGAAACTGTGGGGTAACCTCAAAAACATAGCTGCTTGGCAAAACATCAGATTTTTATAAAGTGGCAAATACTGACAGCAGTGACACTCATAAAGACATGTGGAAGCCAATTCAGTCCTTTTTTTAGGTTACCTCTATATATAGTTCTGTGAGTTCTTTAAATTCAATTTGAAATAAGGTACAGAATACACATCATTATTACTAGCACATCAATAATTAGTTCTATCAACATTTGGAGGTAAAAAGTTATTTCCACAGGAGACCACTAAACATTTGGTAACTACATCTTGTAGATGGGAACAAATATCTAAAATTAAATCTAAAAATAAAACATTTGTGCAATTTGTTGAAAATTAGCATTGTTGAAAAGCAGTTAATAGCTGCAAGCTCAAATTTACGTCAGGCTGTAATTTTGCCATTTATATTTACAGATTTCTCCATCAAGCAGTTTTCTAAAATTTTTCAAGAGCTCAGTAACAAAAATTTGATTAAGTATAAAAAATGAACACAAACATACCTTTGCAGCACCATCTTCAGCCTCCCGTTTATGTTTGCTGATGTTGTAGTCTAATTCCTTAATTTTAAGCTGAGAATCATTGTTTTGTTCCTTGTGTTTTGCCACTTCTGCATATTTAGCTTTAATTACAGTGTCTTGGGCTGTTATTACCTCTTTTTGCTTGGTCACTTCTTCTTGAGCTTTATTTACTGACTCCTAAAACAAAAAATAAAAGAAAATATGTGGTGAGGTAACATGTAAATAATTTTAATTTACTAAACAATTATCTGACAGATCCCTGGGCAAGATGTCAATGTGATTACAGGCAGAGAGAAGATCACCTAACCCTCTATTTTATATCACCATTAAAAGGACTAATGAATTTATACACAGAAGAAAACTTGGGTTACCCCTGGAAAAAGGGTTGGGGTACAATGCTCATGCTGCAAAGGAAAGCGTTTCTGCTGGATGTAATGTAGTTGGAATCAACTGGGTGAGGAAGAAGAGAGACTGATAGAAGCTGACTGAACTATGAGATCCCCAAACTGGCAATTCTGGATGAGTAAAAGCTATTTGTGCCTCATTCTCTCATGACAATGAGTGAAAAGACTGAGAACACCAAAGTCAAACATCTTAAGCTAATGTTTCATAAAAAGATTATCATTTTCAGCTTCTCCAATTTGATAAATAAATCCTACCTTATTTTTAGCCACCTCAGCTGCCATTACTTCAATCTGACTTTCATAGGATTTGATAGCTTCATTTACAGCTTCAAGCTGTTGTTTGTAAGATGTATGCTCTCTCTTGAGCTCTTCCAGTTCCAGAGTGATAGCTTCAACTTCCTGTAAAAAACACAGTATTCGGGTATTCACATAGGTGATTAACTACTCAAAAACAAGTATGTACAGGAAAAAACAAGTATGTACAGGAAAATTAAATAAACAATAATCTCATGCAAGTAAGACCGACAGCTTTGTTACCACTCAGCTACCAAAAGTACAGGTTAAGCTGCTTCCCCAGAAAAAGGAAGTTTATTTTCCCATATTAAAAAAAAAGTGTAATTTGTATAGGCTGAAAGAACTCTGCATAAATTATATCCTTTATCATTTATTCCTACAGGGAAAACAATATAATATTCTACATAACAGATGAATTAGTGGAAGTAAAGTTTAAAAACAAAACTGTTCAATGTGTAAAAAGTTTCTCAATATTATTCTTTCCCACTGTAGCCTTCATTTCATTAGAAGAGCAGTCCCCAACCTTTTTGGCACCAAGGACCAGATTTGTGGAAGATGATTTTTCCATATGGTACGGGCAGGGAGACAGCATGGTTTCGGGATAAAACCACCCCATCTCAGATCATCAGGCATTAGATTCTCATAAGGAATATGAAACCTAGATCCCTTGAATGCACAGTTCACAAAAGGGTCTGCAATCCTATGAAAATCTAATACCACTGCTGATCTGACAGGAGGTGGAGCTCAGGCAGTAATCCTCATTTGCCTGCCATACACCTCCTGTGTTACTGGTCTGTGGTCTGGGCGTTGGGGACCCCTGCATTAGAAAATACTTTGCACAGCTATTTAATAAGTCTTAGAGTGGGCTAAAAAAAATGTGAGGGAAATATATTTAGGTGAAATCACATAAAAGTGATTAAAAACCTAGGTTCAAATTCCAGCTTTGATATTAGCTAAAAGATATAATAAAGTATCATCAGTTTACAACTGAATGACACCTTGTAAATATAACATGCTTTGTCTTCCATCATGTTCTCACAGTGCACATTCATTTAGGTGCTTACCAAATAAAAATGTCAACTTGCTGAATCTCTGATATGACATCCACAGTATCAAATAATCCACTCCTGAAGAAAGGCCATCCACTCTTGAAGGAAGCATTTACCAATGGTCAACTTCGGCCTTTCCTTAAAATTAGCATCCCCTACTCACAACTATGAAATACTAGACTGCACTGTTTTCAGAGAAAAATACAGATTAAATATCCCTTATCCAAAATGTGTAGGACCAGAAGTGTTTCAGACTTCAGATTTTTTTTTTTAGATTTTGGAATATTTGCATTATACTGACCAATTGAGTATCCCAAATCAAATCTGCTCCAATGAACATTTCCTTTGAGCCTCAGATCAACACTCAAAAAGTTTCTAACTCTGCTGTATTTCGGATTTGAGATGCTCATCCTGTATATTCCTTTGACTTGTGAGAAGCATAATTTGCTTCCAAAGAACACTGCTCCCTTTTAGATTCTGAGATCAACTCTGATGACTAAGGTCAACCAATGATGCTCTACCACTTTCAGCTCTATGTTGACTTTAAAAGGTTGGTTCAATTTCAAAAAGAAGTTATTACCTGTTGTTTTTCTTTCATCTTCTTGCTAGATGCATCTGCCTTTGTTTTGGCACAATCCAGTTTTTTCTGAGCATCCTTCAGTTCTCGCTCTCTCTCAGCTTCTGCATTTTTCATTTTATTTTCCAATACTTCATATTTTTCTTCGGCTTTTCTTTGGATTTCTTCAGTGTTTTTCAAAATCTCCTCACTTTCCTCTGCATCACAAAGTAGGCAAATGTTGCTAAATTAACAGTTACAGGTAAAGGTTTACAAATTCAACTTTTAATGGAAGAAATGGTTTGGAAAATTACAGGCTACAATTTAAGAAAATTAACTATCCCAATGATATTCTAGAAATGGTATAATGAAACACAGATCCTACCTAAAAGTCATATTTGAATTATCTAAAAATCTGTAATGAAATCATTTCTTCTGCTATGAAATTGAACTTCACCTACAACTATTCTTTTACAAAGGTATTGAAGCAACCTATTTTAAAAAAACAAAACAAAACACAGATCATATTTTTAATGCAACTGTATGCTTCCTAAAACCAGAACAGTATAACTATGGTATTTTTCCTGTAGTTGCTAGAAAGTGTATAATTTCATAAACAAGCTTACTTTATGTTCTTTGCCTATTTTATACATATTCAGGGAACTTCTCATTAAAGTTGACAAATAATGTGACAGTAGGATACAGCAAAGGAAAAACATCCCCAAATTTGTGAAAGAAAAAAAATAAGGCCAGGTGTGGTAGTTCACGCCTGTGTAATCCCAGCACTTTGGGAGGCCAAGGAGGGCGGATCATGAGGTCAAGAGATCAAGACCATCCTGACCAACATGGTGAAACCTCATCTCTACTAAAAATACAAAAATTAACTGGGTGTGGTGCTGCATGCCTGTAGTCCCTGCAACTCAGGAGGCTGAGGAAGGTGCTTGAACCTGGGAGGCGGAGGTTGCAGTGAGCTGAGATCGCGCCACTGCACTCCAGCCTGGGGACACAGACAGACTCCATCTCAAAAAATAAATAAATAAAAGAGCAATACTGAATGAACACGTGTTGCTGTAACAACCGAAGCATATTGTTAGTGTTGGGACCCAGGTGCAAATAACCTTGGAAGTCGTTACCGCACAATGTCTTACGCTACTTTTCATTGCGGAAAATACTATTAAAATATTAGTGGAGATAAAAACTTTTGTATAACAAAAATATTATGAACACAAAATTAAAAGACCAGTACATAGCCAAAAAAGACAGTAAAAGGATATTTGCAATGCACATAACCTACAAGAAATTAGAACTCTTAAGAATGAGAACAGTGGGGAAAAATCCATGAGCAACCCATGGGCAAAAGAAATAAATAGAAAATTTACAGAAGTATAAACCCAAAGGTCCAATGAACATACAAAAAAGATCCCAAATTCCAACAGAAATTAGGGAAATGCAAAATAAATGCCAATGCATGCTATCTTTTCACAACCAACAGATTTGGAAAATTTTAAAAGTCTGAAGAAAAAAAAGAACTTGGAGAAATGAAAACTTTCATATGCCACTGGTGGAAATGAACATTGGTAAAAATGAACAGACCTTTGACAATATATAATAAAGATGAAAATAACCATACCCTAAGACCTAGAAATCCCATACTTGGATTTTCCCTAAATAAACTTTATCATATGTATCTTAAACATAGCACAGGTAGAGAAGATACCTAAGGTAAGGTAACAGATACGAATAAAACCAGAGATTAAGCATGGGCTGTTTTCATCTTACCAATGGTTTTTTTAAGGGCATCTAATTCTTCCTGTTGCTTGTGATATGAGCTTTGCTGGAGCTTGGTTTGTAATAAATCTGCCTCTTCAGTTTTCATCTCCCACTGCTGTTTTAGTTGGCGATACCTTACAAAAACAGAAACACGTAAGAAATGACTGTAATTTCTCTGGTATTTGAGAAATACATTCAAACTTCAGATTCTTACCTAAAATAAACTCATATACATTATAAACCATATAAGATGCTACTGGTTACAGGAATAATTTTGATGACTTTCAAGTTTCTGAGGTACCAATTAATTCAAATTTAGATATGGTCATTGAAGGTAAATAACTCTAAATGACTAAAATCCACAATAACTATTTACACTAGAAATATTTAACAGCTAGGTTTCCTTAAAAATAATCCCTCTTGCTAACTAAAAAGAAAAAAAAAAAAAACTACTCACCACAAAAAATGATTATAACAATTACATAAAATTTCAAAAATTTAATTATCTATTAACCTCATTTTCAAATGTTAATAATAATGTTCCCTACTTTTAGTGTAAGAAAAATAGTTTTGAACTTAGTTGTTTTAAAACGCACCTTCTTGAAAACTTTGTAATTCAATCCCAATTCTGGCTGCTTACTCATTTCTTTGAAAGGTATTTAGCTAATTCAGTTGCAGTGAAATTTCAAGTTAATATAAATTCACAAAGTACCTTGTCACTAGAAATTCATGAGGTTTGAGGAAAAAAACAAAACAAAACTCATAAAGTATAAATACTACCTTGAGTATTCCTGCCTGAAGCTATACTTGACAGTACTTAATAATTTTAACTTCAAGTTAATTTAAAAACGTGGAGTATAGAAATATTTGTTTAAAAGATGTTACTTTCCTGATATGGTGTGAAACAATGGCTTTAGCTGATCCTTCCACCATTCTCATTTTTTTCAAAATCTATTTTCCTTCCTTGACCTCAGTGACACAATTAGGAAAGAATTCAATTCTGCAGAACAAATGATCCAATACTACTGAACAAAATTAACAGTTCTAAGCCAAATGTAACTAACTACAAACTCATCACCTTGTTAGTGCTTCCACATATCACAGAAAAATTTTGTTTTACTCTTCTCACAGAAAATAATTCATTTACTCTATGGTTAATTTATATTCATGAAGGTAAAATGCAGGCCTTTACATGTATGTGATGTTTGAAAGTAAACAGGCTAGAACACTTGAGGCCAGGAGTTCGAGACCAACCTGACCAACATGGTGAAACTCCATCTCTACTAAAAATACAAAAATTAGCCGGTGTGGTGGCACGCGCCTGTAATCGCAGCTACTTGGGAGGCTGAGGCAGAGGTTGCAGTGAGTCGAGATCGGGCCACTGCACTCCAGCCTGGGTGAGAGAGTGAGACTCCATCTCAAAGAAAAAAAAATGAAAAAGAAAAAGAAAACAGAAAAACTTTGATTCAATTTGTATCTTTGAATGGTCATCCTGACTATGAAAATCTTGTCCATATTTAGCGTCCTCAAAAGTCTTGGTGCCATTCTAAGCTTTCATAACTACAGAATTTGAATGCTAAAAACGTACCCAAAAATAATCATTTCAACATTTGTTTAGATTTTAAAAATTGTATTCAGTATTGCGAATTCTGAATAAAATCTTTTTAAATCAGTCCCTATTTGTCATCTTCAGAAATACTGGAAAAAATTACAATTAAACTTTAAAAAAAAAATTTTTTTTTTTTGAGACAGGGTCTCATTCTGTCCCCAAGGATAGAGTGCAGTGGCACAATCTCAGCTCACAGCTACCTTGAACTGCAGGGCTCCAGCAATCCTCAGCCTCCTGAGTAGCTGAGACCACAGGCACATGCCACCATGCCTGGCTAACTGTTTTGTATTTTTAATAGAGACAGGGTTTCTCCATGTTGCTCAAGCTGGTCTTGAACTCCTGAGCTCAAGCGATCCACCTGCTTCAGCCTCCCAAAGTGCTGGGATTACAGGTGTGCACCACTAGGCCTGGCCAAACTTTCAAACGATGCACTTTGTTAAGTTTGTAGCTCTTTTAACTCATGAAGCTTTCAATTCAAGTGGGGACTTATTCTCCCAGATAACCACAGAGCCAGTTCACTCACTCTTGTTCACTCACTCACTTGTGTGTTTACTCAACAATCATGTCCTCAGTGAGGCTTTTCTTGGTCACCCAATATAAAATTTTAACATGTCTTTGCCCTAGACAGTTCCTATCTCCTTTCCTGATTTACTTTTTTCTTCTTAGAACTAGTAACATGTTTTACCAATTTATCTTTCTTTATTGTCTGCTTCTCCAACAAAAAAAAACTAGATGAAGGCAGGGATACTTATCTGATCCCCAGCCCCTAGAAGAATATGTGGCACACAGGGAGCACTCAGTAAATGTTTACTGAGTGACACAAAAAGGTTACATTAGCATGATCCCAATATTGAAAAAATAAAAATACACATATAACTCTATTATACTAAATAGAAACGATGTTGGAAAGTATTTATGTGTCTTATCCATACCTATACAGAAGAAATACTGTAAGGAAACACAGTACTGATATTCGACATGAACTTGTTTACCTGCTCATAGGCAACCCAGCAGATCCTTGATATAGGAAGGACAGGCACAATGCTATTAAACTTACTGTGGGCACCTGATCAATGCTATACTCTATCATTTTAACGTCAAATCAGGAAATCAAGTAACCTCTGGTATCAGACACCAGAGTATCTAAGGGTTTCCCCACCAACCCTAGCCAAGTGCTAGTGTATTTCTCAGCAGAAAGAATGGAATATTTGAATGATTGTTTTGCTTAAATAGATTTTGCTAATTTCTTAACAAAGGCATCTCTCTTATGAGAAAAAAATGGATAAATGGTTATCAACTCACAATTTAATTAAATATTTTAAATAAACCAAAAATATGAGAAAAGTCAGAAGCTGTATTTCTGCAAATAAAAGTAAATTTTCTATCATTTTCTACTATGCAAATCTTTAATTTAGAAAATGTATATACAGTTCTTACTTCTCAGCAGTGTTTTTAAGACCTGCTAATTCCTCCTCTAGAGCCCGCAGCTCATTCTCTTTGATTCTCAGTTCATCCTGAACATCTTTGAGTTCTTGAAACTTGGTTAAAATAGAAGCCGCCTGGGATCGAGCACCTGACAGAGGCAAATTCAAACAGATCTTCCACATTGAGTTACCAGGTATACACTACACAATAAAAAGTCTTCTAAGACAATTGCACTCAAATCGATATTCAATAGTAAATATTTTAGTGAGCTTATGAAGCCATGGAATTCATTCCATCACCTGAACCTTAGAACACAGAGAACTCATAACAGATCCAAGAGGTTGTAGTAGGTATTATTTATTCAAAATAACCACTGCCTTGTCTACTGGGGCCCACCTTCCAGCCTCTGACATTGGACTTGCCTACGTGATTTGCTCTGGCCAATGAAATGGAGAAATGTGTCCCTTCTGAAAGTAAGCTTTAGGAGGCAGTACATAATTTACCATTTGCTTTCCGTTTGCCATGAGTCTCTGTTCAAGACAGAGACTGCTTCTCCTTCACAATGAGTCCCAGAATGAGAACAGCACTGAGCAGAAAGGCAACTGATCTGCAGCAGATATAGCATTCACATGAAATAAACTTGTTGTAAGCTAAGACTGGGGGGCTGACCTAAGTTCTGACACAGTGCAGCAAGTAGAATAAACCGATTTCACATTATAGAACTATAATTATCTGGCAGTGACAGGCTGAGGTATTATGTTGACAAAGAAACTCTGCAGATTTGATGGAAGAATGCTAAGGTCAATTAAAAATGCTGTTTAAACACTTGGTAATTAATATATGGGGTTATTTCCTATCCTGTAAGTAAAAACTTCAAAAGCATCGGAATCAATAAAATCTAAAAAGTTTCTTCCCTTGTAGACATGTAAAAACACATAGTCTCTTTTTATCTTCCATTTGCAGATACTACTCATTTGACTGTGTACTGGAGGACCTAATACCTGGTCATGGAAATCATTGAACTGGCTATTGTTTTTGTGGCTTAGAAAGACATTAAGTCACTTGATACCTCAAATGGCTTTATGCCGTTTACTGGGTTAAAAACACAAACCCTGAAATCAGATTGCTGGGATTCAAATTCTGAGCTCTGCCACCCTGTAGTGAGTTATTTAACCACTCTGTATCTTCATTTCTGCAACTGTATATTAGAGATGATAATACCATGCCTACCTCATCATTGTTATTAAGAATTAATTCTTATTTAAAGCCCATAGAATACGGTTTTATAGAATGATAGACATGTTCTATATCTGCATTGTCTAATTATCCATTAATCATTTGTGGTTATGGGCTCTTGAAATGTGACTAATGCAACCAAGGAAATTACTTTTATTTAACTTAATTAAATGTAAAGAGTCACATATGGCTAGTGGCTACTGTATTGGACAGCATAGTTGCAGAACACTGGTATATAGTAAACATATTCAGTGTTTGTTATTCTATTGTCTTGACAAAGATCTGCAAACTCAGTGTGGCAAATACTAGACCAAGAAGAACATGATCACTGTCTAAGAATTCCTTTAAGACATTAAGGTACCATTTCAAGAGCAGGTTTAATTTTTGTTTTACTTTTGACAGGAGGTAGGCGGCACTGGCAAACACACAAATGAGAAGTTAACATGTTTCCTGAAGAAGTGGGTAGTTGGGCTAAAAATGTACTTAAAAAAGGCCTCTTCCTATTTACCACAAAGAATTGTGAGGACAAAAGGATATAAAACTTACCTCCACTCAATGTCCCATGCGGATCAAACACATCCCCTCCGAGAGTTACAGTTCTAGTCATTATCCTCTTATCAAAGGCCACTTTTTTGGCATTATCCATATTGTCACAAACAAATGTTGTTCCAAAGACAAACTCCATTGCTTTCTGAAGTTCTGGTTTATATTCAACCAGGGAAAGAGCCACACGAACGCTGTCAGGGCCAACCTGTGGGACAACAATAGATACACCACAGTATATACTAGTTCTTTTCCTTTCAGGTATTATTTTATAAACTAGTAAGAACTGCTGTAATGGAAACTTAAGTAATACTTACCTAGCATTAAAATTCTTTCTGAACTTTCTAAAAAGCTATGTAAAACCCAAAGTTTCAGGAAAAAAAATTGCAGGTTTAAATACTGAAAGATCTATTGCTAAGTAAAATATTAAAAAAAAGCTAGTACTAGGCATTATGAAAGTTTCTATCAATAAGGAGCCATCACCATGTTTCTAAGTGTCCATTATCAAAGTTGACTGGACACAACTTTCTTAATGATGGTACAGATTGAGTATCCTTTATCCTAAATGCTTAGAACAGAAGTGTTTCAGTTTTCAGATTTTGGTATATTTGTACTACAGTGGTTGAACTTTCTAAATCCAAAATGCTCCAATGAGCTTTTTTTGGGTGTCAGAGTTTTGATTTTTGGAAAATTTCAGTTTTTGGACTTGGAGTGCTTAACCTGTAATTCCCAGATCAACACAACTATAAGAAAATTTTGTTTCAATAATCAGGAATTTGGCTTCACAACAAATATTTTTTTCATACAAATGAAACATGCTAGAGCAGTCATCTGCAGTTACAGAAATAAAAACACAAGTAATAACTGAGAGAGTAAAAGTAATTTAAAAAATCCCTCAGTCCTCTATTTTGATCACAATGCTTCTTCTCAGCCTTTGTTTATAGACGCTACCTCTGCCATCATTTTAAGAAAAAATAAGCATCTCTTTTAGAGCTTAGTATCAGCAGTGGCAATCACAACGAAGGAAGCTCTATGTAACACATGTTCAATATTGTTCTTTGATGTGGCAGCTACCATCAAATAGGTCTGGCTAAGGGATCTGAGGCAAAGTATTTTTGCTGTTACTTGAAATCCCAATTTCCTTCTAATGCTGGGACTTGATGTATGGCTGAATTAACTTCCTGAGCCTTCTGGACTTAATGGTGATTCTTCAAGTAAAGAAAGTACCAACCAAAAACACCACCTTTTAGTTACTCAGCACTCATCCTCCCTCTCCTGATAGTATACATATCAACACAACTATATTTTGAAATCATTTTCATTGAAATCTTCTGAATTTAACTAAGGATACAACATCCAATTAGTTACAAGTATATTTGTAAGTTTCATAGAAATGTCTTTTCAACTCATGTACTTGGAATGTCTGCTCAATAAAAAAACATTACAGCTGAATGTTATGACTGACTTCATGTTTTCACAGTATTACACAACTACAATAACTTTTAAATGTATTTCCTTGTACTGATCTATTTTCTTACTAGCAAGCATGTCACTTTAGATCAACGTCAGCAGTTGAATGGGATCCTGGTCACCTGCTATGTACCTGCACAGGCTGAATAACAATCTAGAAGAACTCTCATAAAGAAGCATCACAGCAATACTAATGAAGGCCTCCCATAATGGATGTCACTGTGGGCAGTTTAAGTATGCCTGACATAGAAACAAAAACAAAAACTTGAAGAATTTGGGGTATTTATCTAGAAGCTCAATTCTAACCATTCAGGAATCAGGAGTGTAATTTTCACCATCACCTGATAGTCATGCGACTTAAGGTTAAAAAGGACATTCTAATACTACAAAGTGAAGTATATGAAAGGGAGTTCAAGTCTTTCAACATTTCTATTCTCTTGTCATCTAATTGCACAAGCCAACCCAATTTTCTTGTATTTTAATTTTGTGGTTCTGTATGTGATTATGTCCCTCAAAATTAATATCTTCTAACTTAAAAAAAAACACACACCCACACAGATGAAGATTAAACATATAAATAAGACAAAATGAGACTTACAAGATTCTGAGCCACTCTCAGAGTTTCTGGTGCAATACATCTGGCTGAAATTTTATTGAGTGGAATTATGGTGTATCGACGTTTCAGTTCCCCCCTTTCGAGTAGCTTTTTACCAGTAACCTACAACACACAGTAGAATTTAAAAAACGCACGTTAAAGACAGAAAATTGAGAGAATGCAAGTTTAGTAGTCTATAACAAATGTTTAGTGCCATTTATCCCAAACAATCAAGCTATAATTATATATGCAATGGAACATCATTTGACCTTGAAAAAGGAGATGCTGACATTTGTGACGACATGAATAAACCCAGAAGACATAATGCTAAGTGACATAATCAGACAAAGAAAAAAAAATACTGTATGACCTCACTTGTACATGGAATCTTTAAAAAAAAAGTTGAACAAATAAAAAGAGTAGGATAGTGTTTATCAGGGATGAAAAAAAAAAGAAAATGGGTGGAAGTAGGTCACAGGTCAAAGGGTACATATTTGCAGTTGGGTAGGATAAATATATCTACCTATTCAGAGATGTAATGTATAGCATGAGGACTATAATTAATAATGGTGTATATTGAAAATTTGCTAAGAGCAAATTTTAGGTGCTATCACACACAAAAAAGGTAACTATGAAAGATGAATGGCTATGTTAATATGTTTGACTACAATAACCATTTCACCATGTATATGTATCAAAACATCTTGTTGTACATTTGTTTTTTTCTTTTTTTAGAGATACAGTCTTGCTCTGTTGCCCAGGCAGGAGTGCAGTGGTGTGATCTCAGCTTACTGCAACCTCCACCTCCCAAGTTCAAGCAATTCTTGTGCCTCAGCCTCCAGAGTTGCTGGGACTCCAGGTGCACGCCACCGTGCCTGGCTAACTTTTGTATTTTTAGTAGAGATGGGGTTTTGCCATGTTGCCGAGGCTGGTCTTGAACTCCTGGGCTCAAATGATCTGCCCACCTCGGCCTCCCAAAGTGCTGGGATTACAGGTGTGAGCCACCATATCCAGGCTTCTTGTACATTTTAAATATATATGATATAAATTTAAAAAAACAAGGAAGTAAATTTGACAATGACTATGTAGCATTTACAGGAAAGAGTATGAGCATTTTACAGAAGGATAACAAGGACAACTGAAGAAATGTAGATAAATTCAATGTTACCTTGATGGGAAGACTGACATTAAAAACAGGTCATTTGTTCTCAGATTATTTTACAAATTAAATTCAACTTATACAGCAAAGAGATTCCAAAAGTTTCAGATTGGTAATATGCATTCTGAGTTTCTGAGTAAGCATGAGCCTTCCTTTGGAACAGTTACCAAACAGTTATGAACCAAACAGTTTTACCCTGTAAATATGTCACCTTAGGGGAGAGCCTTAAAACATCAAGAAAGTATTCAATTCTTTTAGCAGCACATGACTTTTCAAGCTAACCAAATTAAAAATTTTTTTAAATTAAAATCGACTTACTTCTGTGTCTACTACAACATTGTAGAGTCGTTCTCCAGCCACTAATTCTAAAGCTGTGGTTGCAGAAGTATCTTTCACACTAATCAGAGAAGCCACAAGTCCTTTCACACAATTTCTATTCCAGTTCTTCTCTGGATCCCTGAAATACAAAAGTTGACAAAAATTTATCTTAGATAGTAAAGTAGAAAAAGTTATACTTTACTCATCAAGAGCTCTTTTGGACAACACATTAAAGTGAAATGAAAGCAGAATCAGCACATGGTTTTAACAAACCAAAAATTTTAAAATGTCCCAAATGACTAGCCAGCTGTTGTTTTTACATCAATCAATAGATCTTTCAGTATGTTTCAATGTAATAAGAACTCTGATGTTCTAATCCCTATCATACATATGATTACTGTAAATATTCCATTAAAAAACCCACATAGCAAAACAAATTATAAGATGTAAACGTGGATATTTAACTTTAATGACAGAATAACTTGAAAGACATTTTGAACTGCGATTAAATTTCCCTGATTTTAAGATTAGTGGCATCATTAGCCATTAAATTTCACAAGAATTTCCCTGCCAACATTTAAAACATTTCAACAAATGCTTAAAGGAAAAATACCAATGAAAGAAAAGCAGTTACAACAAGTTTCATACAAAAATCTTGGGGTCGACAAAACTTTCAGACTGCTTCCAGCTTAAATAAAAATGTCTTGATTATTTCTATCTTAAAATTCAAGGCTTAAGTCTCTTACTTGTATGCAAATCGAAGATTGGGAAATCTGGCTAATAGAGCTTCATATGTTTCTTTCAATCTACCAATATCACGAGACAGCTGCCTGCGCTTTTCCAAAAGGCTTTCCTCTTTATTTTCTGAAAGATAAATCATAATAAAACCGAGTTTCAAAAGTTCAGTGTACTGTTTTAAGGAAACTATTAGTAACCACTATTTCCAAAACATACAAAAAATACAAATTTCTCTAAGTATTACAAAAGCACGCTGAACCTTCCAATTTCTATCCATTGTCAAACATTATTTCCAATAGCAAATAACATAATTTTCATTCCAAAAAATAATATACAAACTGAATGCCTACTATGTAGAAATACACAAATGACATTTTTGAGCTTTCAAATGATTGAAGCAGGAAATTCTCAATACTGAGTTTTCAAAAATTCAAGAGTTGTTTTATAATTAGGTATTTGTTTTTACTATACTTACAAACACTTCTTATACTAACGCTCGTTAATAGGCTAAGAAATGTTTCCTACTTGCTTGCGTTCTTTATTTAAATTAGCTTTTTATCAAAAATCACTACCTCCTCATGACCTGATTATCATGTTTTTAAAGGCAAACCTTCATAATTTAGCTTTTTCATTTCAGCTTCAAGTTTTTCTTTAAGTCTTTTTACAGCTTCTAAAGCTTCTTGATCCTTCCTGTAGCCACTATCCATCTTCTTAACTTCAGCTTGTTTATTCTTTAATTCCTGTTGAGCATGCTTCAGCTTCATCTGAGCCTGTGGCAGAAAAATGCAACAGACTATAGGATGTATGAGGCAGACAGTGCTAGTAATTAAATGGCCAAAGATTCAGACTGGTTTTACTAAGAGACCTTAGCCTTAAAAATTTAATTGTTTGGTCTCTTGGATTAGTATTTCAACAAATTAGTCATTTCCCAGTATTTTCTCCTCAAAAACTACTCAAAATATAAACTAATATATGATTAACATGTTGTTAAAGAAATTGAAATTAAAGTCCATATTTTTAATAAGATATGTGTGGGGAAAAGAGAGAGAGATCAGCCTGTTACTGTGTCTATATAGAAAGAAGTAGACATAAGAGACTCCATTTTGTTCTGTATTTGAGATGCTGTTCATCTGTGACCCTACCCCCAACCTTGTCCTTGCAAGAGACATGTGCTGTGGTGACTCAAGGTTTAATGGATTTTGGGCTGTGCAGGATGTGTCTTTGTTAAACAAGTGCCTAAAGGCAGCTTGCTGGTTAAAAGTCATCGCCATTCTCTTACTTTCAACTACCCAGGGACACGTACATGGCCAAAGGTAGCAGGGACCTCTGCCTAGGAAAGCTAGGTATTGTCCAAGGTTTCTCCCCACGTGATAGGCTGAAACAATGCTGCTAAAAGGTTTATGGAGATGTTTGCATACGCATCTCAAGGCACAGCATTTTCCTTTAAACTTATTCATGTCACAGAGATTTTTGTTCACATGTCTTACTGCTGATTTCCTCCCTACAATGATCCTATTGTCCTGCCACTCCCTTATCTTTAAGATGGTAAAGATAATTATCAATAAATACTAAGGGAACTCAGAGACGTGGGTCCTCTGAGGGAACTCAGCCGGCGTGGGTCCTCTGTAAGCTGAGCGCCGGTCCCCTGGGCCCACTCTTTCTTTCTCTATACTTTGTCTCTGTGTCTCACATTTCTTTTCTCAAGTCTCTCATTCCACCTAACGAGAAACACCCACAGGTGTGGAGGGGCAGGCCACCCCTTCAATATGACATATTAAAATTGAAGAATTATATCGAATAACTGTCAGTAGCTGGTAATTACAGCCAGCTAGAAATCACAACTCTCCTTCCTTTCCTTTCCGCTTAGTTGTTTATATTTGTATTTGTATATATTTGTGAGTGCTGTCTAAAAACAGTTAAGAAACTGAATTGAGCAATAAGATCTAAAATTATACAGCAAAAGAAGCTAAACTGACAAAGAAACTTAAATGCTGAGAGTCTAATAATTAAATGCTAGAACTATTTAAATTAAATGTGTCAGGCATTCAAGAGTTTATACAATTGACCACTGCTTCTTAAAACTATGAACTAGTATTCTAAAACCCAGATGGGGGTACTTTAAAAAGTACTTTAAAGATTTTGTACTGTTGAGAGTTCTTATAAATTTGTGACTGTCATCTCTGTCATGCCTGAATGAAAAAGTTGCAAATATATAAAGAGGAAAACCTGAGGATTAATGCATAATCACACACATTTGTGTACCTGTTTTAAAATCTGCATCTTCCATTAAAAAAGAAACAATGATATGCCTGTGTACATGTATTTTTTCTGCTAGCAAAATTCTTGTGTTCATAGGACTTGAAGTTGCACTACTATGTAAAATCTGAGAAACACTGTAATAGACTGACAAGACTTTTAAGATTATGAAATCAGAGTAGGGAGAACAAAGACTAGAATGTGGCTAAATGTGAGGTAGAGATACTTCCTAGAAAAATGTAAAGCTTCAGAAACAAGGTTTTAAGAACTAGGTATGATAGGCAAAGCAATGGGGAGGACAATCCTGTTCTCCTGTTAAAGCTTAAGACTTCAACATTATGATATTAATAAAACATAAAAATAGCCAAAAAAAGAATAAATGGATTAATCTCTAAAATTCCACACAATGCTGCAGACAGAACAAAGCATTTATTACACTTACATACTGAATTAACGTAATTTATGTTGTACAGCATCTTAACAAATTAAGTTCATCAATATTTAGCAATAATATATTTGACTTTTCCTGCACTAGGCATTAGAGTTGCAGAATAACATAAATAAACAAGTTCCTTGACACTGATTATTTTCAACACTATGTAACAATTGCCAAAGCATAATGTGAAAAGAAACTTCTTGAAAAAAAAAAGCAATCACATAGTGCTTAATGTCTATATTTACCTGTTTGGCTTCTGTCTGAGCTTTACTTATATCATTTTTACAGGCCATCATTTGACCAGCAAGAGTTGCTTCTGCTCCATCTTCATTACTGGACAGGCCAGCGGAAACAGCATTGAAGTGCTGCTGTGCAGCCGCCAGAGCTTCAGCATCTTTATTACTTGCTTCTTGAAGGGCATGCAGTCCATCTGCTATCTTTTTAACTTCTTTTTCCTTTGCTGCTAAAGTTTTAGAGTCCTTTAGGAAGAGTTTCAAATGGAAAAATAATGTATTTCAGGAAAAACATCCAGTTTCTTATACGCATATACCCTTATGTAATCAAATTCCATAGCAATTTGGAGTGAGCATAATAAAATAATTTAACCATCATAACTGTATATAAATACTGAATTATCATTTTGAAATTACAGTTTTTAGAATAAATATAACTCTTATACTACTTGAAATATTTTCATTCCATGTTATAAATTAAATCCATGAGACACTGGGCTAAATAATAATTGCAGATTTAAACAAATCTCTTGAAGGGACTAAAAATGAATTTCTAAAACTGTAAAACTGAAATAGCAGACATCCTACACTAAGCTTAAAAGTAGAGATTTTAGAATTAAGAGTATGTATATGAAAGTATTTTATAAACTGTCAAGAGCCATAAAATTTGAGCACTAAATAGTTATAGAAAAAGTATTACTATTATGTAATACCTTTTAGGTAATATTAACCAGATATCTGACACTACACAAGATACCAGCCCTGAAAAAAAATCTAACTATCTTATTTACAATTAAAGTGACAACAAATTTTGGCAAAAAAAATTAGTTCATGATTCATCATTTATGAAGTGCTTACTGTATAGCAGGCCCTGTTCTAAGACATTAAAGACACAGACTAAGTCACTGTTCTAAGGGAGCCTATATTCAAGGTTAGAAGACATGGTAAACAAACAAAACAAGGTTGCGGAATACAGTGATAGGAACTCTTACTTCAAGAAGAATAAGAGAAGGGCTTTGAGATGCCATTTGAAGGGAAGACTGGATGAAGTAGGAGGAGTGACCGTGCAAATACTTGTGGGGCAGTATACTTGAAAGCCCTGAGGAACATGTTTGAATATTTGAGGAACTGGACTAGGAGCAGAGTGAGTAAATGGTTAAGGAGCCAAGAGTCATATCATGAAGCACCTTGCAGGCCATGGTAAAGACTTAGATTTAATTATATAGTTGATCCTTAAACAAGATGGGAGTTCGAGTACAGACCCACCATACAGTCAAAAATCACATATGCTTTTGAACCCCCCAAAAACTTAACTACTAATAGCCTACTGTTAACCAAAGCCTTACCAATAACACAATTAACTTACATTTTGTATGCTACATTATATATTGTATTCTTGCAATAAAGCTAGAAAAAAGAAAATGTTAAAAGCATAAGAGAAAATACATTTACAGTACTGTAGTGTATTTACTGACACGGTAAGTTTACATCATCTGTTTACAAGATAAATCATCTGTCTGGAAAGGAAGGCAACCACAGCTGCACACCTCAATCTATGGTACATTATCAAGCAACTCAACTGTTTCTTGTAGCATCCTGACTTCTCTCTGCTTTTTGGGAGCATTTTCAGTATCACTAGTGCCACTTCATACAGATCCCATGTTATTCGGGTTTATGGTATTGCACTAAACATGAAAAATACACGAGAACCACAAGACATCACTTTCTACCGAGCTCTGCAACTTACTGGAAACGTTAACTACTCAGAAGTAAACGATTAATGCCACACTGAGTTTACTTGAGCTCACCACCATAGCAACAGGAGGTGGCTACAAAAGTATTACAATAGTGTAGTATGTTCTATAGTTTTATGTAGTTATTTAATATAGCATCTTTATATTTGTTTACATTTCTCTGAACTACAAATAGTGCCAAGTACGGTGTTTAAGTTTTGAAAAACTTTAACTTTTTATAATAGATTTTTGTATATTTTATGGTAGTAAATGATAAAATAGACTAGTACCTACATATATGTTGTGCATTTATGACATACTTAACTTTTTCTTAATTTTTTTGATATTTCTAGGCCATATGGTATTTGTCTGCAAGTTTTTTCAAACTGTTGCAAACCTTCAAATAATTTTCCAATATATTTATCGAGAAAAATCTGCTAATAAGTCGATCCACGCAGTTCAAACCCATGTTGTTCCAGTGTCATACAGCGTACATGTAATTTGGAAACCACTGAAGGATTTTAAGCACAGGAGTGATGTGATTCAATTTACATTTTAGCTTCTGTAAAGAACAGACTATAGAGTGGCAACAGGAAAAAAGTAGGGCAACTAATAAGCACATTATTGCAGTAGCCCTCATGAGAGGTGATGGTTTGAATGAAGTTGGCAGTAATGGAGGTAACAAAAAGTGGCTGTATTCTGAATACACTTTTAAAGTTAACAGAATTTATTGATAGACTGGATCTAGATATTTAAAGAATGGCGAGAATCCAGAAGACTCTTAAGATTTCTGGCCTCAACAATTAGGTAAATAGTGGTACCATTTACTGACATAAGGAAAATTCAGTAACTCAGGTGGGTCTGGGTAGATGAGGAAAATTCCTAAATTCTATTCTGGAAATGTTAAGTTTTACACTTTTTAAAAGTCATCCAAGTAAAAATGTTAATTAAGTAGCTGGACGAAGAAATCTACAGTTTGTTGGACAGTCATCTGGATGTCATTAGACTAATCTTGTTCTCCCTTTCTCAGTTGTGGTTCTCAAAAATAGCTGTAGAATGTGCTAGAAAATGCAACATTCTGATTGAAGGAATGGCCTGAATAATCCATACTCTATTTCAGTTCCCTCCTAGAAATATGCATGTCTTTTCATGCTTTAGCTCAGCAACTCATGTAAACCAGTGCTGACCACCCCCATTTCTCTATTTCTGTGGTATAAACCCAGGGCAGGCTGGGTTTATAGCCTGGGGTATAAACCCAGCGCAAGCTGCTTTCTGGGGTCCCTCAGCTGTATGGGGAACACACAGATGAAACTCCATCCAACACTTGTGGGAATGGCCCACCATGAAACCTAGGCTTTTACTATTACTGCCTATCTGTAGGAAATAAATTTGCTTCATATAACTTACGCTGTATGAGTGAGTTCCATTAACACTGACAAGTTGGTAACTAGTACATAGTGAACTTGTTTCATACCATCAGTGCTGTTAGTAGGGTCTGCTCTGACAGAACCATGGCTTACTGATAAAGCTTGAATGGCTTCACCCCTTCGCCTCCCTGCCCCCAATACCCAGCCTAGGGCAGAGATATCACCCTAAAGGGTTGAGGGGCTTGGATATGCAGCTGGATGTTTTATGGAGAAGGAGCCATAATAAATGGAATATAGATGACCCCCTCAATGAATGAGCTGGCTGCATGAATTGAGGCAGAGCAAGAAACAGAAATGGGGGAGCTCAGCACATGATCCCCTGGTTGTTTGACACATGTAATTGCTCATTCCCAGGGCCAGACAGCTCAGGAAGCGGGTAGTAAGATGGCTCCTGAGAGGGAACAGGAAAGAGGTACTCAGACAGTCCTTGAGGCATCTGAGAGAACCAACACACACAACGCAGGCCTCATAGAAAATGAAGCTCACTATCTAGAGGATGAGTATACAGAAAGGCCAGGAAAGGCTTATGCAGCCTGGTTGAAGTGTTTGTTTGATAAAGGGACACTGTGGATCCAAATGGCTAAATGGAATAGTTTAGAGCAGGACCAAGGTCTCCAGGTCCCCACCAGAGATGGCCCTATACTCCTGTTAAGATGAGAAAAAGAAATGAAAGTAGGCTTTTCTGGAGTTCTTAGATGCTGGAGCCCACAGGACTTATTTCCAGTTTTCCTAGGGAAAAGTTAAACTGATGACCATGGGAGGCTTTCAGGCAAATGTAGTGACTCACTATGCTTACGTGCTGTGAGTAGATACTTTGTGTCACTTTGGGTGCTGGTGACCACAGTTCCCTCCACTGAGTATGGATATTGATAGTTTGGTTGCTTGTGGTGCAGAACATCACCACCACCTGAGGAGGTATGTCCCTCGCTGCTAAGAATTGGAGCTATACCCGTGGCACATATCCACCCCGGCCTGCCACCTAAGACTTCATAAGTTATTCAAGACTTACCCAAGACCTCATAAGTTACTCAATGAAAACAGTACTGCATACCAAATGGAGAATAAGACACTACTTTCTTAATTCAAAACCCACTATAGATAAAAATGTCACAATGCATTGGCCTAGTCTGGCTGGTCAGACAGGCCTTTGGGGCATGAAGACTAATGGATGGTCATAAGCTGAATGTCAAGGTCACTTGGACAGAAAGCCAAGGAAGTATCCCAGATATAGTCAAAGAAAAATGGTTGGGGCTGGTGACACTTACTAACAAAAAAGAAGCCCCACAGCTGGTAGGTCTCTTGGGTACTAAACACAGCATATAACCCATGTGGGTGTTTTTTTGGCCCCCTTTAATCCTGGTGACCAACAAAGCTGCCAACTTTGAACAATGGACTTTGCAGTAGCAGGCCTTAGAAAACAATGTAAAGTGGTGGCCTTCCTGCTGCTTTTAAAACATTTACAGTCTGTTAGTCTGACGCAATGACAGGTGTCCACAACCACCAAGAACGCTGACTGGAGTCTATGGCAACAGAAACTTGTCACTGGGGAGACCTAGCCTCTTCGAAGTTGAACTTTAAGTTGCTTGAGGCAGCCACCCGATACAACTCTTGGAATGTAACTTTTTGCTTGCTGTTGTGCACTGGTGGAGACTGTGTGTCTTAAGGCTAGAGCACTATATGTGACTCTGTGACTTAAACTGCCCACACTTGGGTGCTAACAACAACAAAAAAAACCCTATCAATGAATTGGAGCAGACTCAAAAGAGCTTGATTATCATACAGAAATGGTACATTTGAAATCAAGCCCAGTTGCAACCCCAAGGGACCAGGGGGCTTCATGAAAAAAATGGCTTGCTTATTAGAAGGGTCCAAACAACCCACAGGGGATGCTTTGGCTTCTCCTCTGGTTCCCTGGGTCCTAAGATTCTGAGATGTGCCTACCAATGGTATGGCGTGATTTACTGAAAGTTCCATCAAACAGAACAGGAGGGATCCTCTTGACTGTAGCCACCATCAGGCCAATAAGTGGTCATCTTTTGACTGAGGCTGAACATGGACATTATGATCAATGGGTCAAACTACATGCAGTGATGATGTCCATTTGGGCCACCCCATCGCCATATCTTGCTACATTTCACCAAGTCATAGGCTGTTGCCAACAGCCTAGCCATCTGGTCAGCAGAAGGGCAACTTAGTGACTGGACTGTTAAAAAAAAATCCCCTATGTGGGCCGGGCATGGTGGATCACACCTATAATCCCAGCACTTTGGGAGGCTGAGGCAGGCAGATCACCTGAGGTCGGAGTTTGAGACCAGCCTGACTAACATGGAGGAATCCTCTCTCTACTAAAAATACAAAATTAGCCAGTCGTGGTGGTGCATTCCTGTAATCCCAGCTACTTGGGAGGCTGAGGCAGGAGAATTGCTTGAGCCCGGGAGGCAGAATGCAAGGTGTAGTGAGCCGAGATCGCGCCATTGCACTCCAGCCTGGGCAACAAGATCGAAACCCCGTCTCAAATAAATAAATAAATAATACAAAATTTTAAAAAATCCCCTCTGTGGAAACAAGGACATGCTTTCTGAAAGCGACAAATATATGTCACTCATATGGACCCTGATGCTACCCTTGAAAGAAACGTCATTTTTTTTTATACTTCATCATATTTCACTCTGACCAAGGAACATCTTTCACTGCCCAACCTGCATGACAATGGGCATTCTCTTGTGGAATACAATGGACTTTCCATGCACCCTGTTATTCACAAGCCAATGGAGCTAAAATGAAGCAACGAAAATGAAACAATGTAATAGCCTACTCATAAAGTAACTGAAGGATATCAAGGTGGCCTGTTAGTGAGGTGGTACCAACATCTGACTAGGGCATTATGGACTTAAACACTGTACTTTAGCACAAAGGAAACACAGCACTGCAATGTATAGCCCAATCCCTATGATAGCTCGGGAACATCTGAGATCGCAGGAGAGTGTCAGGTGGGAACATCTGAGATCCCAGGAGAGTGTTAGGTGGGAGCACTAACCTGTCAATACACTTTTTCCAGAAGGATGTGGCAGCAAAGACCTGGAAGCAAAACACCTCCCAAGCTGTGGCCATGGCGGGTAACATAAGATGTTAGACATGATATCCAGGAACTTTCTGTCATAGCCCACAGTGACAATCTGGTCTTGCTAGCAGTGAACTACCCTAGCATTCCTAATGTCACAGTGTACGTCAATAGACCCCAACTCCTGGCTTCCATGAGAGGACATAGCATCTGTCACATAAAAGGGTGCTAAATATGCCATTTTAACTTAACTGTGGCAAAATGTCATGATGAAACATAACATAACCTCAATGGGTGTGTCCCATTGGTGACGAAGGAAACACAATGAACTAGTGCAAGCCCTCTGTGTAGGAGCTTCATGAACAATTTTGTATGGGGGAAATTGAACTTATGCAACTATACCACTAATGAGATTTAGCTGGCAAACGCTAATGCCTCCCTACCCATGAATGGGGTCACTGAACAGTAAAACGGGGGAAACGGTGCTATGTAAGTTTATATAAAAAGGCTGAAGCCCTGGGATACTTTCAACATTTGAATGTTAGGATAGTTCAACATTCAAGAGATTGAGTACTGTGAGGAAAATTAGGCCAGTAAGTTGTCCTGGAGTCCAGGTAAAAAAGACGTTTGCCAAGGACTACATCATTTTCCATGGGCAGTGTAGGAGTGACCCAAACAGAAGATGGGCGATGTCAGGCCTGGAAAGCTGGCAGATGGTGGGATCCTGTACGTTGGGCATGCTGGGGGATGCCCCTACGTATCACTCCTAGAAATGAGATGCATTCTAGGGCCAGCAGCCTAAAGCTGTACAACAGATTTACTCAGGACCTACCAAGAGGTTTTACTGACTCTCGGTTTAAGTGCTTTATAAAATCTTCGGTACCATACATAACATTGCTTTTCAGCCCAGCAGATATCCCTTGGGAAGGTTGTTTTAGACAACTGCTCTAAATCTGTTAGCACAAGTGGAAAGAGCGTATGTGGTTGCCAACGCTTCCTGCTGTACCTAGATAAACACCTTAGGTACTGCAGAGCCACAAATACAGATCTGGAAGCAGGTCTGAAGGATCCTTCTTTGACCTCTTTAACAACTTCATATCTGGATTACTGGGATCCTGGGCTGAGTCAGTGCTCCAGGCAGGCCTGATCATCCTGCTTGTAGTCCTCCTGGGCACAGTGAAATGTATTCTGGCTATGGCTCAACAATACTGCAATGAGATTACGTCAGTCAGAGTGTTATATCCATCTAAGACAAACCTCCTTCTCCTTCAGATTCAGAGAAGTCTGTGGGCATAATAAAAGGACTAGCTTTGCTAGTGTGGGAACCTAGATTGGAGGATAAACTACAAGACAACTCCTTAGGTGGCACTAGACTAAGCCAGTTCTTCCCTCTCTGGCTTATAGTTCTCAAGAATAACTGTAGAATGTGCTGATAATGCAATATCCCGAGAAAGGGAGGCAATGGCTGGAACAGCCAGGACTGTTCCTGTCTGCTTCTCCAGCTGCCCTAAAACAGAATCTCAATGCTTCAGCCCAGTGTCTCATGTTACTCCAGGGTATAAACCCAGAGCAGGCTGTTTTCTGGGGTCCCTCAGCTGCTGTGCAAGTTGGGCACATGCAAATGAAATTCTAACCACCTTAGGCAGCTTTTCTGAGCCTTAGGGGATCAGCTTGCAATGAATCCTAGACTTCTGTTTTCCCTTGTTGCCTATCAATAAGTAATAAATCCATTTCACATAAAATGTTGTGTATGAATGTGTTCTGTCTGCTGTCCTCAGACAAGCTGGTAACCTGCATACAATAAACCTGCTTCAAAGAGTTCAGGGAGTTAAGACTGCTTAGAGATTTGGAAGGTATCAACATATAGATGATTAGAGTTACAGACCTGGATGAGACCACCTATGTCATGAACATTTATAAAAGATATCAGAGTGCTAGCCTTAGGGCATACTAACATTAAGAGATCTAGAAGAATAAGGGATACAGAAAAGAAGGATGAAAAAGGAGCAATCAGTGTGTGAAGCTTAAGGACATGACAAGACTAAAGAAAAATGAACCCAAAACAAGGCAGGCCCACACATTTAGAGCTTTACAAAACCTTAAAAAAAAAAAAAGTAATTGGTGATTTGATTTCAGTTGTTGGATGTCACAACACAGACTGCTACATCACATTCACATTGCTTCAAAATTTTGTCTAAATTTTCCTCCTCTGTTTCTTAATTCAACCACTGTATTTCTCTGCAAAAATATCTAACAGGGCAATATAAAGAAATTATTTTCAAAAAGTTAATTTTTCTTCAGTGAAAAGGCAAATGTATATCTTCACTGGGACAACAGAATCACCCTCAAAAGAAATGCCATAAGCTCCAAAAACACACCTACTCATCTACCTACATATGAGACTATATACTTGACTCTTCTGTTACCATGGATGACCTATTCCTAGTTCTCATGAAGGTGACCTCTATACATTAGTTCCTATCCTACTTTCAGCTACTAAAGGGCCCTGTTTTAACAACTCTTCCATCTCTCTCTCCTGAATTACAAATGACGCCTTTTCTACTGGATCTTTTCTGTCAATATAAAATTGATTTATCCCATGTAAAATCAAGCCAAAAAAACTCTTTCTTCTGTATTACTCTCCAGTTAGCTCCCTATTTCTCCTTCTTTCAGAAAACTTCTCAAAAAGTTATCTATAGTCATTTTTCTTTTTTCTGCTTTCATTCTGTCAGAGTATGAACACAATCTAATCAGGTACTCACGGACACTTCTCCTTGAAATATCTTTTTTACCTGAACTCCAGGACAACTTACTCGCCTAATTTTCCTCACGCTACTAAATCTGTTTTGAATGCTGAACTATCCCAACATTCAAATATTGAAAGTATCCCTGGGCTCCAACCTTCTTATATAAACTTACAGCCTTGATCATTTTATCTAGTCTCATGGATTTAAATAACACCTATACATTGATGATCCCTCCAAATTTGTATTTTTGCCTGGATTCACTATTCATATATTTAAGTACCTAATCAACATCACTACTCAAGACGTCTTAACAGGCTCCTCACGCATATTACATTCACACTGTATTTCTTAAGCTTATCAAACCTGTTCTCCCTACTCTCCACCTTACTTCAATGGCTACCGAACTTAAAATCCCGAACTGTACCCTTTTTCCTCTACACCCCTAATCCCCTTCCCTGCTTTACCTTTTTTCCACATCAGTTATCACTATACAACATGTTACACGTTTTATTTATTTTTTTTATTATCATTTCCCCCAATGGAATGAACGCCCACAAGGCAAGGACTTCTGACCATTTGGTCCAGTTGTAACCCCAGCCCAAACAACTGTACTTAGCGTATAGCAGACACTCACTAAATATTCATGGAATAGATAAATGTACACTAGTGAGACTATACACTTGTCTACAAGTGGCACTAGTGGCACATTAAGCTCACTTACCTCAATCATATTTTTTTCCAGCTCTTTGCGTTTGCTTTCTTCACATGCCAGATTTTTCTTTTTGAGATCAAATGCACTTTGAGATTTAGTATTAACTCGCTGAGCCTCTGCGAGAGCATCTTCTAAAGATCGAAGTATACCTCCAATTTCCTGTAATAAAATGCAGCCAAGTCAGTCATTTATATAAAATTTGCTCATGTTGTCATTTTATTGTATGAGTTCTGTATCAAATACTTTTTTATAAGTTATTTCATTATCTTACTATAAGATTAAGAAATCAATACAACAGACAATGCCCACTGAATCCTAGTTACCAAAATGTAGTACGTTTTCCACAGAGTATATTACCGATTCTAATACATATGTTCAGACCTTATCTTTTCTTTTTTCCAATTCTTCTATTTCATGATTAAGTGCTTTTATTTTTTTATCGTTCTCAGACAATTCTTCCTGAAGCTTTATAATTTTATCTTTTTTTTTTTTTAACTCCTCAGCTGAGCGTGCTTTGGTATCTTCAGCCAGCAAAAACTGATAAGCAATATATAAACGACTCAAATGTTCTATTTCTCTCATCACTTTTTGGTACTCCAAGTAGGAAGATCTTTCCTGAAAGGGAAGTTGCAAAAAAATAGTAACTCAAAATTGTATTAAAAAAAATTAATTATGCAAGATGTATCAAACTTCTCATTACATGATGCAATAGATTTTGTCCTGTATTAAACAATTATAACATCTTAAATTGTAGGATACTTTACACAACATTAGAAGTCAGGACTTTCATATAGCATTATAACTTCTCTAGTGAATCTTATTTGGCTACTTCTTCTAACAAATAATTGGGCAGCTGAGCTTAACAAAGAAATATGGACATAAAGTTCGTAAGCTAGTGTTAATAAGTCTGTTAAAGACAACTTACACACCCACCAATGATACACTATTACACAGATTCTGTAGTAGTATTACCAAGATGCCTACTCTAAAATTCTTTGAAGCACTACTATAAGCACTTGCTCACATCATTACTAAACATGATTCCCATAAGGACCTAATGGGACCAGACAAAGTAATAACTAAAATCCTTAATTTACACATAAAAATCAAATTCAGAATGATGAAATGATCTGTCCATGTTGTTAGATTTAGGAAGAAATTGTGGCAAAATCAAGTCGAGGACCTAAGTTTAAATTCCTGATCTAGTGTTTTCTACTAAATCATGCATACAAAAAGGGTACCTTCAAGACCACAATTTTTCCAATAAAATCTACACTACTGTATGGATTCACAAGACAGCTCTGAGTAGTATCAAATTTCAATGAGCATTTAATAAATTCCTAAATGGATATCTTTTAAAACATCGTTTGGCTGGGCACAGTGGCTCACTCCTGTCATCCCGGCACTTCACGAGGCCGAGGTGGGTGGATCACTTGAGCCCAGGATTTCAAGACCAGCCTAAGAAACGACGAGAAACCCCATCTCTACAAAAAAAAAAATAAACTAGCAGGGTGTGGTGGCATGAATCTATAGTCCCCAGCTACTCAGAAGGCTAAGGTGGAAGGATTCCTTGAGACTGGAAGGTGGAGGCTGCAGTGAGCTGTGATCATACTACTGCACTCCACCCTGGGCGACAGAGTGAGACTTGTCTCAAGAAAACGAAAATGTAGCTCATAAATGTATTCTTTCATGAAATACTGCCATGTCTTTTGATATCAGGAGCAGCAAAGATTATAGAGAAAACCCAATCCTCTGTTTCAACATCTTCTGCTTACAAAATACCTTGACAGCAATAATTATAGTGATAGCCCCTCTTATCCTGGAAATTGTTCACTCTACCAATGAGGGTGTCTAAGGGTGCCATTATCTTTAAGAAATGTTGTTCCAGTCAATCCTATTTATCTAAGAAAATCCAGACTTGCTTAGCTTCAATAAAGTATTAAAATTCAGCATAACATTTTCTGAAACTATAAATATTACTCTCCAATATCCTATGACTCAGTAGATAAGTATATATCCTCTGCAAGCAGAAGGCTCAATTATGGACTGCCAACTCTAATTCCTTATCTCATCGCAGGAAAAAAACCCCAAGAAATAGTATCACCATGTGTATGATTTTGGATACATCACTGACTTTGAAAGACATTCTAATAGATTATCCTCAAATATACAGAATATACCTCTTTTAATTTTTGAATGGTTGGAGTTATCTCTTCTTCAAGTATCTGGAAAACAAAGAAAAATCAGTATTTTTAGCATGTAAAGTACTATTAAAATGTATTTGAAAGAGAAGTAGCATGGATGGCTATGGAAAACTGAACCAAGAAAAAAAATTTTTCCCTCTTTACAGCAAAAACTCTACATGCAAAATTACATAAAAAAAAAAAAATGTTTCATATGAATTAAATTACCGTCTTAATTTCTTTCAGCTTAGCCTCCTTTTTTTCTATAGTTTTCTGTGCAGCTATTTTTTTGTATTCATACATCCTGGTTCCAGCTGCTTCTTCTATCATGGATATTTTTTTGAATGACAATTTTATTAACGTTTAGTATCCAAGACAATGTGTCCAACTGGAATTTACATTAAATATAACATTTTTGCCTTGACCTCACTAAACATCTTATCAAAATTTGGCCCAAATGAACCATTAAAGTTAAATACAGTAATTTCACACAAATCTTTTCCTGTAGGCTTATTCTGTAGGAATGAATTCTGACATGAAACACCAGTTGAATAAGACTCCTTTACACGATCAAAATCAATTTTAATATCTGGGCACAGTGCCAAACATTACACAAATATACAACTGTCTTTACTAATCATTCCTAAACAATGTTTCAAAAAATTTTAATAATATTTAAAAATTGTCTGAAAGATTAAATATCTATACCAACTATTTTTAATGTCCATAAATAGTACTCTTACCTCTGGAGGTTTCATATTCAATACTTTTGTAATTCGGCCCTGAAAATAAAATGGAAACTTACTAAGATAACAAATTACAGAAAATGTTTATCTGTACTGCCATTCATGTTTATCTAGACTGAAGCTGCTTTATCTCATTTTACCAATCTTTGGGGATCTTTCCTTTATAATTCTTCCATGATTCTAGAATTTTGGGACTTTACTATTAACTTTCCCACTTACCAGTGATACAAATTATGGAAGTTAGGAAATGATACAAATGAAATAATTCATTAAATGATACAAAGTTAACAAGGACCATGTTTCTGAGACAGTTAACATTCGTAAGTAGAAATATTCAATTTTAAAACACGTAAATATAAAAAGAAATTGTGGCATAATTAATATACTTTTAAAATTTATTTGAATGATAACCCTCCAGGATAATTCACAAAACAGATGACATACTTCTAGGCTTCAAATAAAATAAAATATTTTATATCAATGCCAGTAAACCATTAAATTCATTCATTACCAAAAACAAGTAAAACAAAACACCTGCATGCCCAGGTCTCAGAGAATCGTATTACTAGAATGTAGATTCACTTAAAAGTAAGTTTTCAACTCTGAAGGTGTGTAGTGGAAATATTTTTATTTTGGTCCCACTGAGATGTTCCCATTGACTTTACTGTAATTCTCTCAAACGATAGCTGGATGGGTCAAATGACATAATGTAAATGTAAGATAAAATCAGCCTTTACTCCTCATTTGTGTCTCTAAATAAGCAAATTATTCAAACTTTTATACTTGAAATATTAAGATGCATTAATCCAATAATTTAAAAGGACATATTATGGCTTGCTTTCTTTTTTCTTTTTTTTACAGTTAACATGTATTGTTCTTTTAGTGACAACATAAAAAGTCAAGAAAAATTACTCCTAAACATTCTAGAGGAGTCAAAGGTCTATAATACAGTAGAATATATCACTGCAAGTAACTAAACCACATTTCTTAACAGATGGCCAGACACAGCACAATAGTAAATAAAAAGTATAAAATTCAAAACATATGGTACTTTTATTTTAACTGCTTAAATGTAAAACATGTCAACACTATTACGAAAGTGACATAAAGACCTCAAACAAAATACCTGCATGATGAGAAAGTGAGGGTTGTTAACATTAAGGCCAACAGAACAGAAGAGATCCTGTACTCTTGTGTTGTTAGCATTGACTCCATTGATTAAATATTTATTTCTACCACCAATAACCACCTATAAAAGAAAGCAATTTTAAAAATATTCATGTACATGCACACCTTGAGCTAGGATAAATTACTAAGCATATTAGCTTACGTTTATTTGTTCTGTCCAACTAGCAGTAAACAAAACCAATTCTGCATAAATAGTGGAACAAGTATGACATGGCTAAAAACACTAACTTGAGTCAGGACAACCGGCGTTTAATGCAAGTACTTTTGCTAACTAATTATGCAATTACACACAAGCCTCTTACCCTGGCCTGCACCAGACTAGGTCTCCAAGGTTACCTTCTAGCTTTATGTTTCCAAGTATATGTAAAACATACTTTCCTTTCCTAGTTACCTTCTTTCTGTAACTTTTCTACAGAGGCTTTCTCTACTTTTCAACAGGAACAGAAGTCAGACAAGGTAGCCTGACATCAATTCTTGACAAGATTCAAAAAGCTATTAATAAAGACATGATCTGTGACCATTTAAAAGAAAGGGTAATCACAGAGCTTCAGTATGGTTTCATTAAATCATCTCAGACACCATACTCTACTATCACACTTAAATTGTCATTTATTGGGTATGACTGTCTCACCTACCAGATTGAGGTCCTTAAAGACAAGTTCTGTTTCTCATTCTTCTAACTACATCCCAGTACATTCAAGAACACCCAATATACATCAAGTATTTAATAAACATTGAATAAATATTGGTTCATTTATTTTCCTGACAGGACTACTAGGTTGGTAGTTCATGTATTAATGTATTTGAAGAGACCTCTCTGACAAAAACTTTATAATTTTGGTGAAGATACAAGTTTATAGCCTGAATGAGGACAGGAACAATTAGGTAGATTATTAGTAAGAGACTTAGTGACAGTTCCTAAAGGATAAATATTTGATGGATGCCTAATGACACAGAACAGGATTCTGTCCTAACCTAGCCTATATTTCTTTTTTTTTTTTTAAATCAGAGGCTTCCTTTAAAATAGAGGAGAAAATCTGTAAGTGATAAATGATAAGATGGACAGTAAATGGGAGTTGACTACATTTTTAAAAACAAAACCTTGGGCTGGGCACGGTGGCTCACGAGGCCGAGGCGGGCAGATTACAAGGTCAGGAGACTGAGACCACCCTAGCCAACACAGTGAAATCCCGTCTCTACTAAAAATACAAAAAAAAAATTAGCCAGGTGTGGTGGTAGGTGCCTGTAGTATCAGCTACTCAGGAGGCTGAGGCAGAAGACTCTCTTGAACCTGGGAGACGGATATTGCAGTGAGCTGAGATGGTGCCACTACACTCCAGCCTGGGTAACAGAGCAAGACTCCGTCTTCAAAAAAAAAACAAAAAACAAAAAACAAAACAAAACAAAAAACCTTGACAAGCTGAAAACACTGCCTGACTATATTAATAACACACATAAAAAAAAAGCTCTACTGAGAAAAATAGAAGTAGAATATCTAAAATGAAAGAATAACTCTAACTAGACCGATTTTAGTACACTCAATCTAAGGTGTCATTAAAAGATAGATGAATGCAGGGGCAGGGAGGGAAACTGGAGCATACCTGGTATAATCAGGCAAGTGAAGGAACTAGGAACAAACATCAATGAAAGACCTGGTAAGATTTCACTTAGAACTAAAACACATATGCTTACAGATCACTTGAACACTGAAGTAGGGAATAAGTCAGATTTGCTCTTAGTGCTCTCAAGAGGACTAGGATTAATGAATAAAATTTGAAGACAGCAGACTCTGACAAAATTTATAGGAGTAACTTTCTAGTAAGACCTGTCCAAAAACAGAATGGGTTATCTCAGAAGACTGCAAGATCTCAAGTACACAGGTGTTCAAGAACAGCCAGAGAAGATTCAAGTATGGTTTAAGATTTCAGCATAGCTGAGTGCTTATACCGGATGAATAACTTTTCAGTTCTCTTAGTGATAGAGTGTACATGATCAAAATTTTAATGTAAGGAAGATATTAAGGAATCTAGTCAGAATTTAAGGCACAAATTTTGCTCATCAACTTTCTCTAGCACGTTTTGCAAAGGCATAGGGCCAAAAACCACATCAGACATAAAAGGTATTAAGATATCGAAATGTTTAATAGCCACTCACCTGCCTTGTTACTGTGATTTCATCATGAACCTCAAATCCTAAAGGACTTTGCTTTTTGTCAGAATTATCAAATGTGATTGACACAGAGGCTTTGGTAATACCAGCCTGCCCATTTTTGTAAACTAAATCTTGTAAATTAGAAGCTCGAACCTAAAATAAAAGAAGAAAAGTGTTATCAATTACAAAACTCCCTACTGTACAAAGCAGCACTAAAAATGAATTCCTTGCTGTTGGAAAACCCACCAACATAGTGTCCACTAAGCAGACAAGGATAGGCAGCTGCATACTCTGGCAAGGAAAATAGGTAACAACCTGAAATGGACACTTTTCTCTATAGAACCTTTTCAACTCTGAATTGAATTGTTTCCTATTCATTTTTTAACAAAAAGTTACTTGGCAAGATATAAGGAAAGACAGTCCCAATGATTTTCACTAGTCATTCAATCCATTAGCAGGATTTGAAAAGGCATCATTACACAGGGTTGAAAATACTCTGGAATGAGACTACTTTACAGTCAGAAAGCCTGAGTTTTGAGGCATTGTTACTTATAAACATCTCCAACATAAACATCTCTATGTTTCTATTTTCTCATCTAAACGAGTAATAATAGTTTCCTTAAAAGGTGACAGTGAGGTGTAATTTACAAAAAGTATAAAAACACAAATGAAGAGAATATTGTTAAGTCTCCAAAGTTCAGGGAGGATTCTCCTGCCCACTTAAATTCAAATAAATCAGAAAGTTTACACTTTACCTGAGACAGGTTGGAGATGCCCAGCAAAAAGCAGATGGAGTCCAATATGTTTGATTTTCCACTACCATTTAAGCCAGTGATAGCATTGAAGAGGGGGTCAAAACCATTGACTTCGGTTCTCTGAGCATAGGACTTGAATCCCTCTAGAATAATTGACTTAATATGCATTTTCGATACTGTCTTGGGTCAGCAAACCTCTGACAGGAATCAAACAGGCCACAAACCAGTTCTGTACGAAACAGAAATACCACCACCTAAGTGGAATGTAAACCTGGAATCATAATGAACACGAGGCAAAAACGGTAATGATAGGGTAATAGAAATAAAACAGCCACTTGACAAACTATCTAGTCTGATGTAAAGACATCGTTCATCTACTCAAAAATATAACAGAGTTAGCCACTATCTGGAAATTAAACCATTCAACTGGGAAGTCTTAACTATTTCTTACACCTGTTTTTCCAGGCTTGCCTTCTACTTTCATCATACTCTAGCTAATAAAGACTACGGATTATTTCATACCCCATTATCTTTGCCCACAATGTGCTTTTTTCTGATACTGACATAGCTTACTCTCTACTGCACTCACGTCTTTGCTGAAATGTGTCACCCTACTGGAGTCCTCCCTGACCTCCCTGTGTCACCTCTCCACACTTCTTCACTCGGCTTTTTCCTTCATGGTACTTAAAACTGGTATTAGACGGTCATTACTTGTCTGTAAGTTCCTGTAGTATCTTCACCTACGTCCATCATTGCATCCCCGAATTGTGCTTGACTCCGGGAGGAGGGGAAGTCATTTAAGTATTTACTAGGGATGAGATGTATCTCATATTCTCCAACGTCTTGCTTTTACTCAGGCTGTTACTTCGCTTCTTGAGGCCTGTCTACACCTCTTCGCCCTACTCCAAGGCCGAATAGGAACTAGCCTTTATTTCTAAGGATCACCTAAGCTCCTCCTCCCCATAGCCCCCGCGTCCCGCCTCCCGCCAGGATGTCTGGCCGGGCCCAACCGGCCGTGCTCACGCACACGCCTCACCGCTGCCTCAGGCCAGGGCTTGACGCACCCCAAAAGCTCCTCCGGGTCACAAAGGCGGGGAGCAGGCCAACTCTCCAGCCGCGGCTGCTACGAAGAGAACTTCACCATAGCGGCTACAACACCTGCCGCACCGCTCTCAACACCCGCGCCGGAACTATTTATTCCTTTGAATTTCGGCGCGAGCAAAGGACCCCACCTCCATTGCTTATTTCCTGTGCTGGTGCCTAGGAGCTGCCTGTCTTTAGGGTTCCATTTTTCCCCTACACGCGAAGGATTAAAGCTTCAGGGCAATAGGACGCAGAGTCTCGATAATGGCAGCTCCGGGGACTCCCAGGCGCGGGCCTAGGCACTACAAGAGCAGGTAGTATATGTTCACACCGGCGTCCGGCACGCTATGGTCAGCCCCACACCTCGGCCCCAGGTCCTCGCGCTTCGTCAGCCCCGCCCCTCCTCGGGTCCTCTAGTCAGCGTTCGGCGCCCTGCAGACTCCGCCTTCTCGAGTTCTGGGCGATGCTCACCGCGGCTTACTACTCTTCACGCAAAGCGACAGAGTCAGGAGGTGTAGAGGCATTGTTTGAGTGTTCTTGTCGGTTCTGTTTTGGAAGCCTCAGAATCTTCTCGGGTTGGCTCAGATTGCTGCAAAGTAAAAGCTGTATTTCGGTGGGGCCGGAGAGGCACAGTCCTTCGGAGGACTCTGGCCCGCGTCCTGGCTCCGTCCCGTGCTGCCTTCGGACCTCGCCGAGCCTTTTTATCTGAAATTTTCACGTCGGGAAGGGATCGTAGTCTACTGAGAGCTGTTCTGAGCCCAGAGGAGTTGTGTGGTGCTAAATAGCTGTTCACCTCCCTTACACTGGAAAGCGTTGTAATGATAAGCCTACTTAACCTGTCAGGGATTTTTTCTGGAAACCTTTTAAGACAGTTAATATTTATTGAGTTCTGAGTGTTAGGCTATGTTCCAAGGGGCTTTTTAAAATCCTCATAGCAACCCTGTGAAATCAGAAATTGCCCTCGTTTTACAAATGAGTGGAATGAGTCCAAGTAAAAGGTTAAGCAGTTTGTCTAGTAAGCTGGGATTTGTTCCCAGTCTAGTTCCAGATTGCATGCTTTTAAATACATACTAGGCTCCATGCATAGAATCTAGTACTATTCACCGATCCTGTTAATTGGTATGTATTGTTCTTTAGAAAGAAAGAAGGTGTCAGCATTACTTACGTTTCCAAGCACGTTGATACTAAAGAGTTAGGAAGGATATAACTCCGAATGGGTATAGTGTTTTTCTAGGTGAGGTACAAAAACATGGTGTGGACAATGCCATTTTGGAATGGCTTGATCCTTTTGGGCTTCCATAACAAAATATCATAGACTGGGTAGCTTATGAACCACAGAGGTTTATTCTTCACATTTCTGAAGGCTGAAATGTCACAGAACGAGGTGTGTCTAGGAAGGAGTGCTTTCTGCTCAGTGGATAGCACCTTCTGACCCTGTCCTCACATGGTGGAGAGGCAGAGGCCCTCCCTTGGGCCTATCTTATAAGGGCCTTTCCTTTCTTCCCATTCCTCACTTCCCAAGAGGCCACTTGCCAAAACCATCAGTTTGGGGGTTAGGATTTCAAAATGTGAAGTTTGAGGGACATATTTAGACCATAGCATAGGGCGTGTTTTTAAAGTTGCTTTCTTGGCCCTGGAATGGCAATGCAGTCATCTGAACTGGTCTTAATCTACCAGGAATGGGCCTAAATTTTGAAAATATTTCTCGTTAAGGGAGTAAAATAAGTTTTATGGGTTTTTTGTTTAAGAAAGGATTCATTTATTTACTCTGATATGCTTACCCACTTCTGTGATGTCAACCATGGGTAGTGACCTAACATTAATTTACTTCAGCAGATATCTTTGTCTGCCTTGATTCCTGCATCCCCTAGGCTCCACAGCTATTCAATTGTATTGATTCTGTTAACTCTTACACATTTACTTTCAGCTGTGTCTCCTTCCTTTTATCATTTTGTGAGTAAATAATTTTAATTTGCCAACAAATCCTAATGTGGACGTAGTCAAGTTGTGAAATAAAGTGATTCTTGGTATGGAAATATGTGTGAAGACAGACTGTTAGTCTTTGCACTTTAACAACTAGCTGATGCACTTATGTCAAATGGATGAAAACATACAAATGCACTGTTGTTGGTTAAGGACTTCTGGGTGGTTAGAAGAATTTGCAGATCTAACTACTGCCATTAAGACCATTGATCAAAATGAAAAATGCTTATGAAGGTGGAGATCTCTATCAGTTTTAGTCTTATTGCATGCCAGAACCACTAAGGAATTGCTGCTAAATATAGGACAAATGGACTTGAGGAAATCACTGATGACTAACTTCAAACTCTGCCTCCTGAGATCACCACAGGTGAGTGGAAACAAGGCGCAAAGCCAGTAAAGCCCCCTCATTTGGAGATGTGAGGGGTAGAAACAGAGATAGAGTATAGGGTAGATGCAGTTAAAGAAAACACTGTTCTTGCTTCATCGCCATGGATTAAAATCGTTTGAAAGCTTCAACACTAGCAGGCAGTGTTTCAAGCGGAAATCTGGCAGCTAGTGGAGTCTGAGTCCTTATATGGAAGGCATCAGTACTAGCAAGGACACACATACAGCCCTAAAGCAAGACCTAGGAGAAAAATTTGGTGCTCTACTATCCTAGGGAACTAGAAGGAACCGGCTCTGTCCAGGGTATACTTTTCTAATTTTAGAGTGCTAAAGAAGCTCTTCTCACAAGGACCTGAGTGAATCCTTTCTCCTTGGAACAAAGGACAGGAAAAAAAGGACTTTCCCGCAGAAGTAAGGAAGACTCATTTTGTTGAGATGCTATTTTTAGGTTCAAGGGAATGAATTGATAATGACAGTTTATATTTTTACATTGTATTGACTAGCAGCACTTTTTTTTTTTAGAGAGGGAGCCTCACTCTGTTTCAGGCTGGAGGGCAGGGGCCTAGCAACACTTTTTGAATACAGTCATGCACCACATAATATTTCAACGTCCAACTACATTGTATGACTATGGTCCCTTAAGATTATAATGGAGCTGAAAAATTCCTATTGCTTAGTGATGTTGTAACATGATAGTGCAGCATACTACCCTTTCTGTTTAGAAACACAAACACAACATTGAGTTACAGTTACCTACATTATTCAGTACATAATATGCTAGAAAAGTTTATAGTCTAGGATCATAAGGCTATACTATCTAGGTTTGTGTAAGTATACTTTATGATGTTTGCACAACAATGAAATTGCCTAATGAGGCATTTCTCAGAACGTATCTCGTCGTTAGGCAACGCATGACTCTATTTTATTTCTAACGCCTGATTATTTGAACTGTGGGTTCACCAAATATAAACTGTTTGACAAACTTGCAAAGAAACCCAGCTAAGTATAATTTAAAATGAGGAATAGAAAAGAAAGTTATTATATTCATTCACCGGTGGGATCTGGTTAGACCCATTCATTTTCATTTCAATGACAATATTGTTTTCCAAAATACATGTTCTGTTTGTTTTTTTGTGAATTCTGCCTATTCTTTCATTATGATTTCTATTATTTTGCCCTTTTAGTCAAGTTATATGTCTTTATTTTATTTTATTTTCTGTTAGTTCTGTTATTTTTAGCTTTTCAATTCCTAACTCTTGTTGACAACCTCCACTGACTCTTACTCAGTGATTTATTTCCTCATGTGGTGCTCTTCTTCTGTGGGTGGTTTTGTTTATGGGACTCTCTTATGCCCTTAGTTGCAAAAGAGTCCCTTTAGAGCAATTATGCATTTCCTTCTGCCAGCATACTGTAGCTCTTAAAGATCCGAAGCATTTTCAAATGATAATTTCTCAGTCTGTGGCTCCTGACTTATGCAAATATTATAAATTTATATCTCTTGCAGGGCTGCGGTTTTGATTTCTTATAGGTACCTTATGTTTTTTCTTTTTTTCTCCCTATCCAAAGCCCCAAAGAACAAACTTCTTCATCGCTTCCCCAGACTAGTAGATTACCTTTTTCCAGTTCTAGTGGCTGGCTATTCCTAAGGCTCTAGGTTTTAAATAAGGGCTTAGTTCCAGCTCACCTGCCTCATTAAAGCTCAGCCTTGTGCTTGGACATTAAAACCCAACTACTGGTTCCTGAGGCATATGGCCAAGTATAAAATTTTGGAGGGCTACCGAAGTATCAGTTCTGCTTTCTGCTATTCAATTTTTAAAATTTATTTCGGGCACTGAGAATTTCCTTTTTGTTGTTTTTTGTTTTTAAGGTTGTATATGATTTATATAACAATAATTATATATTTTATCCATTATTTCTATGAGTTTATAAAGGAAAGCTCAGTCAACCATGTTGGAGGAGGCCTTCTCATTCACTTTTCGTGAAGAACATTAGTGATCTTTGTTTTGCTCCTCCTGAGTCTTCCTTCCAGAGCTCACATTCCATATTCAAAGTCACTTTTCCTAAAAACCAGTAATTACTTCTCTAATGAAGTCTGGTACTAGGTCTTAAGAAAATATTTTCGACAAGGCGCAGTGGCTCATGCCTGTAATCCCAGCACTTTGGAAGGCCAAGGTGGGCAGATCAGGAGGTCAGGAGATCAAGAGTATCCTGGCCCCAACATGGAAACCCCATCTCTACTAAAATACAAAAATTAGCTGGGTGTGGTGATGCGTGCCTGTAATCCCAGCTACTTGGGAGGCTGAGGCCCAAGAATCGCTTGAACCCAGGAGGTGGAAGTTGCAGTGATCCAAGATCGTGCCATTGCACTCCAGCCTGGTGACAGAGAGTTTTTTCTAAAAAAAATTTTCATGTACTACTCATAAAGTAAGTTCTATTCTTACTTGTTTCATATTTGTTTCTTTCTGTTTTTCCAGCTATCCTTGGCTTTTATCACTTGCATGCTGGTTAATAGCCAGAGC